GTTAATATTAATGATTAGACTATGTTATCCTAGTGAAACTTTTTGTGAAATGAGAGATTTGAAGTAGAAGAAGGAGGAACATTGTAATGAAATAATGAGCTATAATATGTGATGTGTGGGGGGGGAATAACCATGGAAAATAGGTGCTCCCATAAAAGTATGTGATTTAACTGAAAAGTAATGTGTTAAATGTTTATGATATAAATGAATATCAATATTAATGAATAGATTTGTATTGGTTTTGATAATATAGTATAATTTTAGAATGTACCAGACAGAATCCCAATGAAAGTTATGTGTTTTATATTAAGTATTATAAAGATAGGGGAAAGAGATAAAGGCATCATACTCCATTTAGTGTACAGGAGAAGTTCTTTTTCAAAGAAGAAAGATAAATGGACAGCTGGAAATAGAACAGACAAAGAATAATAAATATTATGATTTGAATTGAGAGGAGATAAAATAAAATTGAGAAAATTTAAAAGAGAGGAGAAGCTATATAGAAAATTGAAAATGTTAATAAGATATGAAATGGTATGTAAAATGAATACGAATTTGAATTTGTGTCTGTACCAAGAGTTTTAACCCGGGACCAAGCAACTTTCAGAAAAGAGATCTTTTATGTTTTTATGTTTTGTGTTTTTGTGTATTTATGTTTTGTATGTCTTTAAAAATTAATAAAATTTGTTCAAAAAAAAAAAAAAAAGAAGAACTCTCCCTGTAGCTGCAGCTTGCAGGCAGCGCTGAAGCCTCGACGCTGCCAGAGAGCAGATTCCCCGCCCTCCTGAAGCCTTTTCTCAACCAGAGCCCCAGGAGCAGCAGAAACAACGAGGGAAAGAAACCCTTATCAAATATCAAGTAAACTCTTTTAAACTCGTGCGAAGCTCAGACTATCTTCCAGAGACTAAGCTCTAAGTCAAGAGCTGAGTCAAAAAGATGGTGAGCAGCTAAGGCGGATTGGTTTTATAGTGGCAGACCCAGCTCTATGACGTCAGTAGGAGGAGTCATACCCATTTCCTGGACACTCTTAGCAGCCTGTATGAGAAAATCCTTCCTCTTGCTTGAAGGCCATGGGTCCTTTGACTCATGTTTTTCAGACCTAGCAATGCTTTCTACAGCTACCTTGTGAAGTCAGAAGTATATTTCTGGTTTGAAAAGGAGATTTGCCTATGAATCTCTTCTAGATCCTGTATGCACAATATTTTAGAAATTGGTTTTGTGTGTGTGTGTCAAGTGGATATTCAGCAGGTTCTGTCCAGTTCTGGAGAACTGATAGCGGAAATTTTGTGTAGTTCGGAGAACCGGCAAACACCACCTCTTGACTGTCCCTGCCCCCTTCTATTCTCTGCCTACTGCGTCCCAGCTGATCAGCTGGGTCTTCTTTTTTTGCTCTGCACAGGAAAACGGAGCTGGAAAACAGGTGAGTGGGGTGGGGAGGGAATGGGATTTTGCAGTAACCTTCCACCACCAAGGTACCCCTCGCCCACCAGCCACACCCACAGAACTGGTAGTAAAAAAAAATTGAATCCCACCACTGGTAGGTGTGTGTATTGCAACACTATTAAAACTGCGATATTCATAAATTTAGCAATGCAGAATAGTAAAATAATACGTTACAAATTACTCTGAAATATAAAAAGGCAGTCATTTTCTATTTTAGACTTGTTCACTAAATTACAATACTTGTATATTTGTGCAAAAGAATCCTAAGTTCCAATATTCTGTACTCTTGAGGATCAGTCACTGCTCAACCATTAAAGTCTAAACTTGTAATATTAATCTCTCTCACTATGTTTTGGTTAATTGACATTTTCATCTACGTGTGTGTTGTCTTTCTTTTTAATTGCCTTTTGAAGTTTAAACTATGGAGGTGGACATTCATCACACTCTGAAGCGGATCTTCTTAGACAAACATATACAGCTTCTCAGCAGCTTCCTGTGTACACTACCACACCCCATCCTTCTGGTAATAATAATTTATGAAATAGATGCCTTTCTTTTAAAATAGTTGAGAGCTGACAAGTGATAGAATACATTTCAGGAGAATTGTTGAGATATATGTTGATATACCTGTTATACCTGCTAAAAAGTTTGGAAGGGAAAAATTTCTCTGACTGCACTTTGTTTCCTGGAGCTCTAAGCATGGGGATTTACAGAAGGGTGGAATTGGTGAAAATTGCCCATTCCTTCCTTCCCTTCATCCTTCAGTTAATAATGCGCTAAATACAACATAAGTGAAGGTTTCTGTAGATACTTTGTAATATTATTGTATATTTCCTCTCTTTATTACTTTCAGCAACTTGTATTGTTAAGTAAATTGTCAGAACATTGCAGTAGAGCTTTTTGGCCATTACCAAAACTCAACTACAATGTTGTGATTGAATATTTTGATTAGATATTTAAGTGCTGAAGTATATCTAGTATAAAGCTCATATGTGATGTACTTATTCTTATAGGTCTTCCTGGAATTTTTGATAATACTACGCACAGTAGCAATAGCAACACTAAAGAAACATCAGTCATGAATTTTCTCTCTGCAATTGAATCTCGCAATACTCCGACTGTTTCTTCGGGAACAACTCTTTTACCACAATTTAGAGCACCCACATGGCAACCAGGTGACATATTCCTAATATTTTGATAATCATTTCAATATATCTCTGTGTAAAAATTATATAACATTGGCTTAGATCTAGAGCCATTCATCTCTGAATAGGAAGCTTCTACTATGCAGGGAAGACTTACTTCACTGGATTGGGGATCATTGTTTATTTCTATTATTATCTACATAGAATATGATCTATGTAGATTTGGAGGATTATTCCAGAGAGAAGACAGCTAAGAAAATTTGTGATTGTGATGGTGGAAACAGATGAAGAAATTGCAAAACTGTCAATGCATTCTACTGCGGGAATATATTTAGCATAATTCTACTTATTGGTGACATAACAAAATGTGAAGCAAAAAATGGGATGGGAAAGATTCCTGTCTCTTATAAAATAACCTTTAATAGCTGAAACTGTCAAGATAGAAACCAATGCAACTAAGGCTGGTGTGAATCATAATGTCAGCAATGATTAGATGCCTTCCTAGCTCCAGGTTGGGAAAAGGATGATCAAAAGTCCATTGATCACGAGGGTGGAAAGAAAAGGCTTAAGTATTAAACATTGGGACAAACAAACATATAAGGTTTTATTTATTTGTCAAATTTATGTGTCCCTCTCTCACGAACTGATTCTAGGCATTGTATAATAAAACTAGCGATTAAGGCATTCTATAAAACCAGTTAAAACAATGAACAAATAAAAGCAAGATTGTAAGAAGGAAGCTATTAATACAGACAATTTTGCATAAACTTAGCTTCTGGATACTCTTCAAGGGCAGCCTCATATAGGGCAAGTTACAGTAATCAATTCGGGAGGTGACCAGGTCATGAGTATATATGATTTTCTTATGTTTGCAGTGAAGCAACTTACCTAGCATTGCCAAGTTTCTGAAACTATTGTTGTTACCCTGTTTCTGAAGGTGGGACTAGGATTTATGAAGTCAGTTGAGTTTCTGGACTGTATAAATTTTTAATCATGGTTGGTCTAATATATCCCTCTGCATTCCTATGTTAAGGACAAAATGCTTCATCCTCTCTCCACCAGTCTTCTTTGCATGAGATAAAGTAATTGAAAAGACTGTTTTGGTACTGCCTGCTAAATATGTAAATTCAAAATCTAGAGAGAACTTAGCACTAAGTCTTCGAGTGCATTTCAAATACTGAGATGAAATATTTTGGGGGATTAAATTCAAGACTAAATGAAATTATTAGTACCAGTTTTATGTTTCCTTTTTCATTAATGACTGATTACATCTCATTTTGTATGTGTTTTTTAAAGCAGGCATGCATTCATCATCTGAGCTTTTTGTTACTGGAACCCTGCCAACATCTGGAACCTTTCCACCAACCTCAGTTTATCAACATCCCAATGCTTTTAGCAGTAGAAACTTTGCTACTACTCCTTTAACACTTCAGGACACAACTTTTAGTGCAACCTCAAATGGGCTTCTAACTGCTCATGACCCTTTATTGCAAATCAAGACACCCCAAGGCACAGTTCCCCCTGCACTGACTTTTGATCGTCTGGGCAGTTATGTATTAAGTACCAGCATACCACCACAGTCTTCAACATATCGTTCTGCTCAAGAGTCTGCACCACATCTCTTACAGCCACAGTTCAGTCTATTGCCTTCGTCACTTGGTGGAGGAGCTCAGCAGACTCCACAGTTGTATAACTCAACTCTGTTTACTGGTTCTACTGCCTCCATTGAAAGAGCACTGCAGCGTGAATGTAGTGTAATTAAACACCATCAGCGGCCTTCAAACACACAGTCTGTTCAGGCACAACTGACTGGTTCACAGCATTCCCTACAGAACTATTTATCAAGTTCAAATGAATCTGATTTTCAGGATGCACCCCGCCAATCAACTTGTAGCCCAGCTGGCGATGCTACTCAGGTGAGCAATAGTGGTCCACAGCAGAAAACCTCTCAGGTTTCAGTGGAACTTGCTCAGTCGTATGCATCAGCAGTTCCGTCACCAGGTTTCCCATCTGTTTCCACTACAAAGGCAAAACAGTGTTCTACAAAGCAACCAACGAGGTCAACAAAGACACCTAAACCACAAAGTGTAGCCCCTTCTGTACAGACACAAAGTTATTCCAAAATTGCACAGAACCAGAACTCTGTAATAGCTGGTCAAGCACAAATCTATTCTACGGCACAGCTCCCTAGTCTCCTGTCAGTAAGTCAGTCACAAAATTATATTTCAACACAGTCACAGAATGTGCCACCTGTTAGTCATGCACAAGTATTCTCAGCCATCAAGATTGAGAAATTACCATCATTATACAAAACACTTTCTTTTGCTGGGCAATCAGAAGCTACTACGTCCGAAAGCCAGGCGCTACCATACACATCTGATCAACAGGTATTAACATCAGTTTCAAATACCTTCTCTGGGCAAACGAGGAATCTTTCTTCGAGCAGCCAGTCTGAAAATTATTCTTCTAGTCATTCTCAGGGTATGTCAACAGCCAGCCAGCCACAGATTAGCTATTCATCTCAGTCACAGGTCTTGTCAGTTGTTAGTCCTTCAGAAACATTTTCTTCTCATATTCGAAACTTATCAACTACAAGTCCTCCCCAGAACTATATTTCATTGCATTCTCAGGTACAAGAATCATCCTCTCCACAATCTCAAAATTTTTTGCCAGTTGTACAGTCAACTCCTTTTGAAGTAACACCTAATTCACCAGCATTGCAGAACAACGGATCTTCCTCGGATACAAAGTCATACATTAAAAGGAAATCTGATCCTAATTTGTATCAAACATCTAAACAAGATGATCAGTTCCCAATGCATAATTTTCAGGCACTGCAGCAACAAGCATCTCTTGATTCCTCTCCTCAGAGACTTACTGATGGTGAGATTAATGCTCAGGATACAACTTACAAAGTTTCAAAAGCGGATAATCGTTACTCTCAAAGTGTAATAAGAAGTAACTCTCGTCTTGAAGATCAAATTGTTGGGCTTACTTTTCAAGGGTCAAAAAAAGAGGAAACCATGGTTAACTCTGTAACACAAATTAGCCATATTACCAATACCGTGAACCATGATATTAAAAAAGCAAGTAGTTTACTGTCAACAGCACAAGTAAATACAGACAGTAAAGAACTTAGTCAGCAAGAGTCTCTTATGCACAAGGTACATGAAGTTAAAGTCTCAGAGCAACAGATTCATTCTGTTAGTTCACCATCTCAGCTTCATACTCAGCCCATAAGACACAGCCATCAGCTATGCTTGCCTACTTCACAGGTACTTCTGGAATCCCCCTGTGATTTGCAAATGCTTCAGCAGTCAATATTGCAATCTGGTTTAGGATACACAAAAAGTGTTCCACAAGTGCAACACATTATGAATTCTCAACAGTATCTACAAGTGGATGGTCATATGATTCAAAGTAGTGGAAGGCATTCTCAGGAGCAGCTTCATTCGCAACACTCTGAAGTTTTGAAAGTTAACCTTTCTGAACCATCAAAGCCATTACAACATCATTTGACACCCAAAGATCATTTTGGACATCCAAATCATGAATCTAAGAATCAATTTGTTCCCCTTAGTTCTGTATGTTTTCCAGAATCTGTACTTCTCAATGATGAAAGGAATATATTGTCTAATGTAGATGATATCTTGGCAGCCACAGCTGCAGCTTGTGGAGTAACACCATCTGAATTTGCAAAATCAACAGCCAATGACGAAGAAATTCAGTCAGTTGAAAATGGAGGTAGCCCTAAATCTCAGTTTCATACAATAGATGTCAGACATGTGACTCCTAGCTTCAACTCATCCCCTGCACTTTCTGGAAAGCCACTTAGTGTGAATAATATTTCTTTAAATGGAGGTCATGTTACCCTAAATTTAACAGCAGTGCCTGCAGAACAAACAAAGGATAGGAACCTTGACCAACAACACATTGAGATTTCCGCCCAAGGTATTCCTACTAGAATTACAACAGTTGAAATTGAAAGAAGTCAGGAACAGGTTTCTAGTCAAGTTAAGCAACAGTCCAGCACCAAGAATGAGTCTGAAGTGAAAAACAATGTTCATATGGATGGAACATTACATATTAAAGATATAGACCTTATTTCAGGTAGTAGGACTCTAAATGAAGAGGTTGCAGTGTCAAAAACAGATTATAGCATGGCAAGTGACAATGCTGAAATTGCACTGCAACAAATATCTACGCAGCATCCAAGAAATGAAAACGGTAGTAATACTGAAGACAGGATCCAACTTTTATCAGAAGAGGACCCTCAAAAGCAAAAGGACAGAGGACAGAATCAAATTAAAAATGTCAGTGAAATTGATACAAATCAGAAGCAATTGAAACGAAGTGGGCAGTGCAAACGTCAAAATTCAAGAGGCATTGATGTTAACTCTTCTGTTCCTGAAAACTGTCATGAAACTTATCAACATCAAGAAAAAATGAGGCAGAAAATTAAAGAGGTGGAAGAAAAGCAGCCAGAAGTAAGAACAGGATTTATTGCATCTTTTTTAGATTTCTTAAAATCTGGACCCAGACAGCAGTTTTCAGCACCTGCTGTCCGTGTTCCTAATCGTGTAAGAAGACCTGTCACCCCACTTATTAGAGCCCCTTGTCAGTTGCCAATCCCAAAAGCGCAGATAGCAACAGCTACTTCATCCTTTGATGGCTCTGCTGAAAATTCAGTTAAGAACAATTATGAAGATCCTAAAATAAAGTCAGAAGCCCTGCCTTTTTTTTCTTTTGATAAAGATAATGTGAGGAACAATCAAAAGAGCATATATTCTCCATTATCAACATCTGATACAAAGACAAAGTCAGGTAAAGTTTATTACACTTGTGATGAGATATATGATTTTAATTTAAATGTAGCTTTAAATAAAGATCTACTTAAACTCGTCCAATAACCAATAAATATATCTTTTCCTTTGAGTTACATGTTTTGAAAGTAATTAAGTTTTTAAGCTTGTTAGGAGTGCTTTTAAATGCTGTTTAATGAAAACAGTTGATAGTTATGTTATATAGAATTTGAATTTAAAACAAATCTTTTTATAAACTGCCAAAATTGCTTGTTTAAAATTAAATCTAAATATTCTACCCAAATGAGGATTTTTTAAAAAAAATAAAACCCTCTACAAATAATTTTAGATTTGCCTGTAGAATATATATAATATATACTTTTAGAAATTTATATGGGGTTTGTTTGCTTTTGTCATTTAAATATCTTCAGCATGTAATGTTTCTATGACTAGATTACATATGTGGATACATTGCTTTTATTTGAAAGGCAAGGTAAATTTTAAATGTTTTTTTTTCTTGTGACCGCTACTGATTTTTTAAAACTGAAATATATAGAGAATTCCTAGAATCTGAGAAATCTGCCAAATTTATTTATTAAATTTTTACACCACCTATCTCTCTTACAAGGTGACTCTGGGGGCTAATGTTAATCAGAGCAGCTAATATTTTGCACTTGGTGGTAATTTGTAGGCTTAAGTTATTTGTGTTAAAAATATGAAAATGAATTCAAATTCTTGAAGCGCTTGTTTTGTGCTTTAGAAATTGACAAAGCATATTCTCAAGCCATCACTAATGATGTTGTAAAGAAGGAAGCTTCCCAAATGACTGTTACGGTGGCAGATGCTCGGGTGAAAACCTGTGTAGCGCAAGGTGAAATGGAGAGTGTTCTTACAGACCAGTTAGCAAAACCACAAGCATTGGTTGCAATAGAAGGATATACTGAAGATGACCATGGAGACAGTGATGGCGAAGGCATATACAGAGAGCGTGATGAATTTGTAGTGAAGATTGAAGATATAGAACCACTAAAGGTATACCATCTATCTTTTTATTTTTTTTAATCTTATTTATTGTTAAAATACCATAATATTTTTTCCATCAGAAAAGAAATAAATGAAATTTATTTCCATTCTTTCCATTCGAAAGAAATAAATGAAATTTATTTTCTAATTATTTTCATGATTTGTGGAATAATGAATTGGGATGTCCTGTTGTTGTAAATCAGTAGCAGTTAGGTTTAAAATTTTTTAAAAAAATTGCTGTTAAAACAAAAATTATAACAGCTCAAGGAATATTTAAATTTGGTTCCAGTTGCCTTTCCATGCAATTCAAGAGTTGGAACATTAAGTTAGATAGTTTGAGCTTGTATTACAAAGATGGTCTGAAAGTCTGAAATTCACAGAATTGTCAATTATAGCTTTAATATAGTTACTGCTTGGTAAAATATGTATTCTCTTTCTGGATATCCCAAATTCTTGAAATTGAGATGTCAACAGTCATGGTACGACAATCATAGGGTACTTAAAATAATTTTTTTGGGGGGGAGGGATAAAAAATTTTATTTGGGTTTTCACAAAACATACAAATAAAATATCTTTTTTTGAGAATAGCATGATCCCGGGTTATCACTTTTCCATACAGACACAAACTCAATTTCATATTCATCTTTGTATTCTATTCCATATTTTATTACTATTTTAGCATTTTCTCAGAGATTTTTCTCTTCCCTTAGTTTTCTCAACCTTGTTTTTAATTATCTCATTCCTTTCTAAGTTCAATTACGTAACTTTTTCCAAGTTTCAATATCTTTCTAATCATTATGTTTATACTTTTGTCTGTCCTGTTTCAATTTCATATTTTCTTTTCTCATTAAACAAGTTTTCCCCTGTAATTACTAATTGGAGTATGACACCTTTGTATCTTTTCATTTTTATCCATTCAAATCTTATTTAAACTTCAATTTATGCCTTTACAATTATAACATTCAATATCTAACCTCTATTTTATAACACATAACTTTTGCCAATCAAATTCTGCTTGGTAAATTCTTAAAATACACACTCTTAAAGATAACACATATATATAACAATAATACATAAAATACTCATTCTATTCAAATTCGGCTCAACCATTAATGTTAGTTACAATCTTCCATTAATATTAACATCTTTAACATTTCTTTTCAATTAAATATCATACTTCCTTAGGAATACTTGTAATATTCCCATAATTTTTTTCATATATCTTTCATATTTCTCTGCACTTAGATTTTTATAAATCATTAATAACAAAATGTTCCCATCCTTTCCTAATTTCATTCTCTCATTCTCTTTATTTCATTTATTTATTAACAAACATTCCATTACATTACAATAAATATTTTATCTATCACTTTGATCACATTTATTTCATATTTTCTAAATTCATTTCTATTTCTAATACAACAATGCTATCTTATGTACCCTTGCAGAATCCTCTCTTTCAATTAAATTTTCACCCATTATCTCTATGTCTTCTAAATAGGCTTATACCTTTAATCCTTGTACATTTTCCCTGTTTCTCTATATCCTGTTTCTGTCCTTTATAACTTCTTTTCCTTTCCTTCTTCCCCCTCTTCTTCTCCCTCCCCTTTTTGACCCCTTGTCTCTCCAATTCTCTCTTCTGTAATCCTCTCTTCTGTTTCTTCCTAATGTAATTGCTTTTCAAACTGTTCTCTTTTTTGGTTGTTTTTTCAAATCTTAATTTTTTCAGTCTCCTTTCTCCCTTTCCTTTTTCCCCCCACATAGAATTACTTGATCATTAAAGAAGACTTCTTCTTTGTCCTGCCCTTCTTGTTCTTCAAGCATTTCTTGTTGTTTCTCATAGTTCAAGATCTCCATTTCTAAAAATTGAAATACCAAGCCAAAAAAACCTCTTCCTTCTTGTGCATCTTCTTTCTGTTTTTTAAGTTCCATTTTCAGTTCTTCCAAGAGCGATGCCATTTTAAACATTTTTAAACAACCATCCAATTGATTTTAGTCATTTAAATTCAATAACCAAAAATCCAAAAATCACCAAGTAATCCAAATAATCCAAGGCCGTTTCTTCTTGTTTCTTTTTTCCACTTTCTCTTCCTGGGGTTCTATTATCTTGTTACAAAGGTTCAGTTAGAATGTATTTTTTAGGAATCTTGTTAAGATTTCACTGTTAATTCCTTTTACTTCCAGGTGGTCTCCTCCATTTTTCCAGATCCCACCCTTTTGTTTTTTTCCTTTTCTATCCTTTCCTTCTTTTAAAAGTTTTTAAATATCCAAGAAATCTTTATTATCCCTTTGACATTTTATTTTCAGCTTCAATGCCAATTAATGTCAAAGTGAATTTTTTTCAATTTCTTACTTAAGTCTCTTAGCTGTGAGTATGGGGAAGGAAAGAAAAAAAACCCAAATATTTTCCCTTCTCTCTCTCCTTCGCCGCTTCAGAAATCTTTGGGAACAATGTTATTCTTTATAGTTCAGATACCAGGGTACCTTATGTTGTTGCTTTTTCAGTTCAACCCGGTCAGTCAAAGCTTTCTCTTCTTATCTTCCTCACTCTCAATCTTTTCCAGTCAGGTTCTTCTTTGAGGTGGCCATTTCTGACCATTGCTGCAACTGCCTTCGGGAAAGGGAAAAATGGCCAGTTGGGGAGGAGAGATGCGGCTCTCCTCAACCCTGCTGGCGGTCTCCCCCATCTTCACCACCTCTACGGGGTGGCTTTGCCCCGAATCCAGCCAGCTCGGGGCGCTCTGGCGGCGAGCACGGATCAAAACCGCGCACAATCGCGGATTTTGGTCCATCGCCAAAGAAGCCCAAACTGGAAGTCCCAGGTACTTAAAAGAATTATTATGCATCAGAAGAATAAATCTACACCTCATTTGTGGTATCTACATCTCATTTGTAGTAGTAGATTGCCAGCATCTGTTTTAGTCAATGTTTGAGTTAGTTCTTTGGGTTGAATTGCTTTCTATGCTTTTGCATTCCCAATTCATAGGAAAAAATCTTGGAAGACCAAACATAACTTCAGAATGCACAACAATAGGTAGCAGAAAAACATAACTACCGTAAGTTTGTGTAGCAAAGGGGGAAAAAGAGTTAAATATGAATTAATATGGAAAGGAACAAGGAGGATTGGAACTGCCTGATTCTAAATTATATTTTATACCTGCCACTTGATCTGAATGAAAGCATAGGTTTTGCTGAAAAATAAGAGAATTTTAGAATCAGAAGGGCACAATCTGAGGTTTGGATTGTATGTTTTTATGACATAATAAAATTAAAAGTTAATGTAGATTTTAAGAATTATTAATACGCTATTGGCAATATGGAACAAACATAAATCCAGGTGGTCCTCAAAAATGCCTCAGCACAAAAACATTTTACAGGAAACAAACAGTAGGTAAAGAAAAATGTTGAATTTATTGAGAATTGTTACATTAGGAACATGGAGGATATAGGATAAAATCAAAACAGCAATTAAGTGCAGAGGGATTTATTTTCAATAGTTTCCATATGCAAAATTAAGAGAAAGATTTAAGTGGTCAGTAGAACGTTTGGAATTGAGCGCAGAAGATAGAATTTCAAGTTGAACTATGTATAAATAGTGAATGTGTAATAGCTAAAATGTATAAACTTATTGAAAATTGAAATGGAAAAAGTTCAAGTAGAAGACTGATAAAATGCATGAAGAACTTTGGACACACTATACTGATGGGTTAGTGGGATAATATGTGGTTACAAGGATTGAAATGTACACTATGTTATAATTTAAAACAGATTTTTTATAAAACGATGAACCATTGATATGTGCCTCCAGAAAAAAATTGTCTAAAATGTATACAAGTACTTCAAATACTAACAGAATTAGTGCTTTTCATTTTGGTCCTTGTAGGCTGCTTTAAAAAGAGGAGTGGAGCCTCCATCCATCTGGAAAGTTCAAAAGGCTTTGCTGCAAAAGTTTGTACCCGAAGTACGAGATGGACAAAGAGAATTTGCAGCTACTAATAGTGTAAGTGTAGTCATTCAGCTTTAACCATATTAGGTGGTGAAATGGTTACACTGTATATTAATACTGTGAGCCAGTTTGGTGTAGTGGTTAAGGCAGTCAGGCCAGGAACCATGAAATTGTGAGTTCTAGTCCTGATTTAGGCAGGACTAAATTGAATGACCTTTGGCCAGTCACTCTGTCAGTCCTAGGAAGGAACAATGGCAAACCGCTTCTGGGGGAAGGGTGAAACCTTGCCAGGAAAACTGCAGGGACTTCTCTTATAGAGTCTGAGAATCAGACATGATTGAACAGAAGAAGAAAAAACAGGTCTATTATGGTATACTTTTTAATGCCTGTTTTCTGTGGTCTGCCCAGAGCTATATACTTGAGATAGTTAGCCACATAAATGGAATGAATTCATGAATTTAACTGTTTTCATTATAATTGGTAGGATTTATTGAAAATAGAAACAATGTCTTAAAGAATGAAAAACAAAAACTCCTGCAGAAGTTAGCACTAAGAAGTACTTTTTAGTACTTTTTTAGTCCAGAAATCTTAACTACACTGGGTTATAATCATTGGGCTTGTGAAGAACTTCAGATGGTGCTTTATGCCCTCTTTACACCCCATACTTCAAAAATCAAATGGCTGAATTGCTTCATTTTCCCTCCAGTTGTTCCATTAGCCAGAAGAGGCTTGTGTGCAGGAGTTACACAAGTGCAAAAGTCTTTTCGGGTGCTTCCAACAGAAGCCTCTTTTGGCTAAAGAAACACTTAGCAAAGTGTTTAAGAAGTCCCAAAGTATCTCTCACCAACGAGTATGCAAGCTGCTTGGCACACAGCTAATTATTAATAAAATGTAAATTAATTTGGGGTTATATCCCAGATCCATCCATTTTTTTCTGTTTTCTTAATTTCTTACAAGATTATAAAAACTACAAGGCAAGCATAATACATGTTTCTTTTTCCTTTTAGTATCTTGGATATTTTGGAGATGCAAAATTGAAGTATAAACGAGTATATGTGAAGTTCATAGAAAATGCAAACAAAAAAGAGTATGTCAGAGTATGTTCCAAGAAGCCAAAAAATTCTCTTGTACAGCCTGCAAGGTATTTTATTTTAATCCATTTTCTCAGATCCTTGGTCTGTCTTTTAATTGTATTTAATGGGGAGGGGGGTATTACTAGCTTTAAATTTGTTCAAGGCACATGTTCCATAGATACTATTTTGAAATTTTACTAAAATAGTTGTTGGTATTTTATGCTCTAGAATAGTTTCAGAAAGAAGCTTACCTTCATTTAGATTATGAAGAGCTGTTAAAAAGCTAAAAACTTGGAGAGGTACTGGAAATTTTTGCTCTCCAGTTTTCAATCAACCAGTTTCATACTGTATGTAAATTTCAGGAATCAAAGTTTAATCAAATGTGAAAGTAAAAGTTTTTACTCAATTTGCTTGCAAAGGATAGAGAAGGTAAATATAACAATCCTCAAACTTAACTCATGGTTTAAACATTTTTTTCCCAACCTGATTCTTAAGGGTGTTGAAAGTACATCACCAGAAGCCATTGACTATACCTTTAAAAAACTTTTTGAGAACTATAGTCCAAACATAGGTAAAACCAGCATCGGGTTTGTGAATGACATTTTTAAGAGGATCGTCATTTTGATCAAAGCAATTCTATTCTGTCCTTGAATCAACATCATGTTTTCTAGACAATAATCTACAGACCAATATTTTTAGGGATGTCTTTCTTGCTAAGAGTACATTTTAATCTATTTATGTTTAAAGATACTCTTTAGTTCATATAGGCATGAAGATTTAAGACTTGCACCTAACATTGTCTAGACCCTCTAGTTAGATGTTTAAACAATTATCTTAATGTACAAATGAATGAAGTGTGAAAATCTATAAGAAGAAAACTAAAGAAGAAAACTAATTAGCTAACTAATCAGCTCAATTTGACTTGTAAACACTAAGTTTGTAATGGTTTCTTTGAATTATTCCAACTTACAGAATTGCTCACTGTAAGCCAAGCATGAATGTCACTAAAGTTCCTGATCCTTCAGTGCCAAAAACTGTTACAACAAAAGTTAGTTCAGTGAAACCCAAAGCAAAACAGCCAAAGACAAAGGCTGAACCGCCACCCAAAAAACGCAAAACATGGAAAGAAGAATCACCCTCTACTCCTCAGCCGCAGAGTGATGAGGAAGGTAAGTGTCTCTATACTAGAAGAAATTATGAGGATCTGGGATTTTGTATCATTTCCATTGTTGTATTGTCACATTTATTAATCACATTGTATAAGGAGGCATATTTTGAATATTCTATTCCAATTTTACATATTAATATTAATTAATATAATATTAAATGCTAATTTATATATGGCATTTGTACCTTTTTTTCTACATATAGAAGAGGGAACGGGGGCTCCCGAGTTTGTTCCCAGTGTCAGTATCTCCAGCATCTCTAAATCCCAGTGACTGCAAAAATATGGAGCTGCACACTCTCCAAACAGCCCATTAGCATGGAGCACCTATATGCTTGCTGCTGTAGATGTATTAGGAAGTGTCTTCTGATATCTTATTCAGTACAGAGTCTGAAGGCTATATTCATTACAGGGCTATATTCATTGGCCCTTTTCAATATTTAGTAAATATTTGCAGCAACATTTCTGCACAAGAAACCATTGAAAAAGTCATACAAATTCCTAATTTGTGTTTTAGAAACAGCACATCCAAAATACCAGTGACTACTATTTAGATTATTTCAACATAAATACTTGGTCTCAGAAGACATTAGTGTGGATAATAGTTAATTTTCATCAGTATTAACAGCATGATGTTTAGCTACTGGGTAACTCCTGGTCTAAATTTCACAACCAAAGTAAATACTGCACTTTTTTTATAAAGAAGGAAAATGTTGTAGTAAGACAACTTTTTTTTTATAAAATAGAAAATGTTGCAGTAGCATACAAATAAATGAAAAAAATCACACAGTAGTGTAAAATTAACTCATTAGTTTCTGTGGTTGACTCTTATTGAAATTACTTTCTGATGTATTTATTTAAAATATTTGTATGTTATCTGAAAAGTCATGAATTTCCAGGCTGCACCTAACATTAAAATGTCTTCAATATAATATATAATATAATGAAACATGTGAGATAAAGTAATAGAATAAATAAAGTAGATAACTGATAGCCATGATAGTATCCACATGAAGTATAAAATACCAGGGTGAATATAAATGTCACAGCTCAATCACATTGAGAAAGAATGAACCCCCTCTGCAGAGTCACTAAAGCAATAATCAAACAAATGAAAAAATTACAACACGATTAAGCAATATATTTATATATTTTATATTCCAGACACTGAACCACCAGTACCTATTGTTGCTCGCTTTTTAAACACCAGAGCTATGAAAGAAACATTTAGGAATTACATGGAACTGCTTGTCAGCCTTGCCCTGGATCCAGATACTATGCAGGCATTGGAGAAGAGTAATGGTACATTTCATTAAATCTCTTGTTTTTTTGTTCTTAATTGTTTACCAAATGTTGTCTCTTGTTTAGAAGCGACCTGTTGGTCAGGATCTATATTGTAGGAATTATGAATGGAACTTCTGAAGCTCCTTCTGAGGTATTTTCCAATCTTGGCAGCGTTGAGATTTATGGTCCTCTGGCTAGAGATTCTGGATACTGAAGACCACACACAGATTAGGGAGTTGCCACAATTGGAAAACACATCTCCAGATAATAGTGGCAGGAAAGCTAATAAGGTCCCCACTGTTTAAGATGGGAGAGGAACCACTACTTTCTGCTGTCCCTGCCATGGTTGTCCCTTCTGCTGTACTTTCTGAACAGATTGCTTCTCTGGTAACAGACAACAATTCAACTCCTAGCCAACAATCCACAGTTATTTGGAAATGGACTCACTCTGAGTGCATCATGCTCAGAGGTCTATGTCTGCTGATAAGAAAACAATGATTTTCTTATCATTACTCTGAAATGCAAAGTAAATACATTACTCTGAAATGTAAAGATGTAAAACCCAAAACAACAGAAAAAAATAACTAAAATATTGAAAATCTCTTAGGGATGAACAGCACTTTGAATCTAGAGTCACAGCACATCTGTTGGCACCTCTTTAAAGAAGTTGCTTCTTTTCCTGGATTCAAGCAATAGCCCACAATATCAGGAAAATATGTATTTTGAGCTAAAGAGGTGTTGATAGTATGCCAGTGGCCATTCTGAAGGATCTTGTTGCAATCCTGTCAGTCCCTTTTTAACTCAAAAGGTGGATTTTACTCAATTGATGCGGCTGTTCTGCGGGGGTGGGGGAAATGACCCTTCTTTAAGAGTCTAAAAACCTACAAACTTGAAATTTGGCACGTATGTTCCTCTTGGCTTCTAAGTGGTCACTAAGAAAGGATTTTTTGAAATGACCATCACAGCATTAGTATTTCGTATCTTATTATTAACACAGTCTGATGTTAAGGACTTCTCCCCCTTCCCACCTGAAAAGAAATCTCATCCAAATGCAAAACACAAGCAGAGGAGGAGTTTCAGTTTCAGAACACCAAGCAGCTTTAGTACAGAACAGTTGAGCTAAGCCACACCCAGGCTCCTTGCTGTCTCCTTGCTCACACAGCAAATACTGCTTCAGTTTCCAAACAGCCCTCAACTCTCTCACACACTGACAGGATGCTAGCCAGATGAATACCAATGGATGCTGGTAGGCAGAGGCAGATTTTTCTCCCCTGATTTTCCTCCCTAAAAACTAAGCCCGACCACATAGATTTGTAGTGAAGCATGGGTATTGAGCTAGTAAGAATAATCAAATGAAGGCTTTAGAACTTCTTTGTTCTGTATCAAGCTGTTTCCTGAAAATATTGTTGGGCAATGGCAATGCTGGACCATGGATCCACTGATGCAGTATATAAAAGAACACTTGGCTTGTTGAGTACTCTAGATTCATTATAGTTTCATAGACAAATGGTTGCTATTATGAAGTTTTCCTTCCTAGTTACTTGTTTGGGTATTCTTTAAGGGGTGGGCAATTGATTTCCCTATTCACAGAAGAAACAGGGTCTGTGTGGAGGGCCAAAGCAATAAGGTTATAAAGAAGCAGGGGGGAAATTGGGGGGAAAATAGCAATCAACTTCAAAATAAAAGCAATGTGGTTATATTGTGAGCAGGATGTACACCTATTTACATTTGAGTTCTAATTTCTGATTGCCCTCACATATGCTGGTCAGGGCCAGCCAAAGGCCCCGGAGACTATAAAATGTCAAGGTCTGTTTTAAAGTTTATGAAAGTAAAGGTTCGGGATTTAGGGCAGAGTTCATTATTCATAAAGTACCTAGAAAATAATCTATCAGGGAGGTTTTGCTTTCATTTTCTGTGTTAATCATTTACATTTAAGGTCCCTGGACAATTTTGGTCAAATTAGCTGGTAACTCAGCTATTTTGACAATGAAGCTGCAGCAGTTATCAGAACCTAGCCAATCTGAAAGTATCAAGATTGTGGGCTTCAGGTGGAAAGCTGAAATAAAAGGACCACTTGTCCACAAATAACAAACACAATGTTTTAAAAATATTCTATGTTGAAATATGTATTTGGGGCATAAATACAATTTTCATGATTGTTTGCTAATATATCAATTAAATAAACAAGCATGTATTAATTATTTTAACTTATTTGAATAATCATAGAGCCAGAAAACATAACACATTCAGTAAAAGGCATCTATTTCGTCTCCTTTTTTAGATGAGCTGCTTTTGCCTTATATGAGAAAAATTGATGGCATGTTGAACGACAATAGAAAAAGGCTGCTTTCCAAATTACATATAGAGCGACCATTCAAGGTACTGGTAATTATATTTTATTCATAGTTTGCCACTCTTTCATTAATTCTTTTGTAGAAGTTGAAAATTAGTGGAACAAAGCAAAAATATAATTTCATTTTTTCTGTTCTTTTCTTTGTGCTATATTTCTTATTTGGGTTTCCAGCATTTTATTAGTTTATCAAAATATAAAATACAGAAGGACAAAGAAAAATGAAAATAGCAAAACATAAAATAATTTCATTAGGGCAATATCTTGGCGATAAAACATTGAAGTGTATGAGTAACTTACTCATTTCCACTTTCCTTTTGGGGAGATATCACAAAGGAAAAACAATATCAAACTTTATTTAAACATTTAGAAAGGAAAAATTCCAGAGCTACCTGGATAACTATGAAACAGCTGCTTCAAAAAACAATTTCAAAAGAAAGTACAGACCACAAGATGGCACTGCTCTGTTTACAAATAGAGCAATTCAGCCAGTATCTCAGAAGAAAAGTTAGCAAAAATAAATAAATCCAATTTATATTTAAATTACAAGAACAGTAGGAAGACAGTACAGATATGACTTACGACCACAATTGAGCCCAAAATCTCTGTTGGTAAGTGAGACAGTTGTCAAGTAAATTTTGCCCCATTTTATGACCTTTCTTGCCACAGTTGTTAAGTGCATCATTGCAGTTGTTAAGTTAGTAACGCTAAGTTAAGTGAATCTGGCTTCCCCCACTTTGCTTGTCAGAAGGTCACAAAAGGTGATCACGTGATCCCAGGACACTCCAACTATCATAAATACAAGTCAGTTGTCAAGTGCCTGAATTTTGATCACGTCACTATGGGGGATGCTGCAATGGTCATAAGTGTGAAAAGCAGTCATAAGTCATTTTTTTCAGTGCTGTTGTAACTTTGAACAGTCACTAAATAAACTGTTGTAAGTTGAGAACTACCTGTATTATTTCTTCTTGCATAGTCCGCAACATTAATAAACCTGAGATTACACACTTCTGAACTAATCTGAGAAAATAAAAGAATAAGATTTGATTGACAAGCACCACACAGAAAAAAGAAAGGGAAAAAAAACCGGTTCCTGGTTAGATTGGGTTTTATAAGTAGTCCTTGACTTACAACAGTTTGTGTGGTGATTGAACTTACAACAGCACTGAAAAAAAATGACTTATGACCGTTTTTCACACGACCATTGCAACATTCCCATGGCCATGTGATCAATATTCAGGTACTTGGAAACTGACCCATATTTATGATGGATGTAGTGTCCCATATAGTATCATATGAACACCTTTTCCAACCTTATAGCAAGCAAAGTCAATGGGGGAAGCCAAATTTCACTTAACTGTGTTGCTAAATTAACAACTGCAGCGATGCACTTAACTGTGACAGGAAAGGTCGTAAAATGGGGCAAAATTCACTTATCAAATGTCTCACTTAGCCATGGAAATTTTGGGCTCAGTTGTGGTTGTAAGTCGAGAATCCCCTGTGATTCTACTGAAATAAATAGAAATACGAAGTTTCAAAACTATTTTTGGAACCTTTTGCTTGGATTTCTTCTAGTTTCAGTAGAGATTTTAAGTTATTGGTAAACCCCTGCTTTTCTTCAGCCCCTCTGTGCCACATCTGCTGCAGATGTCTCCAGGAGTTCTGTTCATAGGTTTCTAAATGGTTCCAAAATCTTTTCAGTAGTTGAAACAATTGGCGTAATCTGATTCTGACCAAATGCTTCATTTGTGGGTGTGTATTTTGTCTAAGCCTGTTTGGCATGTAAACTGGTGAGTTGTGAAAATCATACTGTTTTCAGCCTGCATATTCATAGCAGATTTTTTTGAAGGATCAGAGTTTAAATTCTTATCACATTAATAAGACATACTTTATAATTCTGTTTAATCGCTAATCTGCTGCTTTTATAACTTCTTTTTAAGGCTGCTTTGGAATGTTTTCCTGAACTGACAGTAATAACTCGAGATTCTAAAGCAAAAACAGGGGTGAATGCAGTTTCTAGAATCAAGATGAATGGAAAAGCTTATAATAAGAAAACACTGAAAATTTCCAAAGCAACCACAAAATTAGCACAGGTATGTTTGTGTAGTATTTGTTTCTGCCATATTTCTGATGGAATGTTGATCTCAAACTTTTCTTGCTTACCTTGAGTGCATTTTTAATCAATAAATTAGGAACTTTTCCTTAAGCCTGAATTCCCCAACAAGTGTTAAGGAAAACAAACTAAACAGAATGTGTAGCGTAGTCAGATAGGCAGACAGGTAAATGTGTGAGATAAGTTTGTATTTTAGTTAACACGCAGTAAAAAAACAGATACGCTTGTGCTATCAAAAATATAGTTTATTCCATTAGGAATTATAGCATAGTCAAAATAAACGGTCCATTAGTCATGTATCATTTCAGTCAGTCCAGTCGGGGATACTCAATTTGCAAAGTCCGTGTTGAATAGCCAATGTCAGTTCACTTACAGTAAATCAGTCGTATTATCTCTTCTCTCCGTTGAGAAATCAACACTCCTTTCTCTCCTCCGTTCCAGTAAGGAAAAACGCAGTCATCAATCCATCCAGTAATTAGGGATCATTAAGCCAGAGAGAGAGAGCTGCAATTGACTTGCTTCTTTTATGGTGCTTTTACAACCACACCCTTAATTATATTCTTGTAGTTAAAGTTACACACACTTTAACCAACAAACCATGATAACTTATTTATTATTTTTACCCAAACCAGTTAGGGTAAACAATGTTATCCCTAACATTAACATTTAAAAAAACTAAATTACAAAATAGCAGTTTTAAAAAATACCTTGAATTTTCTTTGTTCTTTATTTTTTTAAAGCCAAAGAGAAATATTTTTTTAAAACGATATCAGTTCCTTATGGTTGAGCATTCTTACCTGGGAAGAATATGTTGATGAAGATTCTCAGTCATCCAGGTAAAGTTGTCTGGAAGTTGAGTCGTGGGAACTGGACTTCTTGTTGGTTAGAAACATTTCACTGCTTATCCAAGTAGCTTCTTCAATCTGAACAAATTGGTTAGGAGGCTATATGTCCTCTAGGGTGGTATCATTTCACCTAATCTGAATAGGCTCATTAGGTAAGTAGGCAGAGAGTCGTTGGAACATTGCATCCCATATCCTCCAGGGTGGTTCTATTTTCACACGTGTGTGTGTGTATGTATGTATGTATGTGTGTATGTATGTATGTATGTATGTATGTATGTATGGTATTCAGCTTTGTTCGGGTATCGACGAACACAATACAGAAGCCTGATGATGGCAGATGAGATTCTGCCGAAACGTTGCTACAACTTTAAAAGCACAACCATAATGACATGGGAAAATACCCGAACAAAGCCATACATGTAAGTACCCATGAAAACTTAAGAATATATATGTGTGTGTGTGTATCTTTGGTTATTCGGGTTTTCTCCCGCATAAAATTGGAAGCATTTTGGTGACGTTTCGATTAAATCTTATTCGTCATCTTCAGGCTTGTGTCTTCGGCTTTGTGCTTCTTGGAGTAATGTGAGCTTGCAGCTGTTTTTTCTTTTAACTGCCAAACAAATATATATATGGCATCCCCCTAACCAACTTGCTCCAAACTGAAGAAGCTACTTGGATAAGCAGTGAAATGTTTCAAACCAACAAGGAAAAGAAGTCCAGTTTCCATAACTCAACTTCCAGATACCTGGGCGGACATGCAAGTATATCTAAACATGACTCGAATTCCTCTGTAAAGGTCCTTCCTCACACATTATAAATACACCTTAGACTATAACATCTACATTTTCTTCCATGAGTGCCTTTACCTGGACACATGCACACACACACACACTCACTCACTCTTTTTTTTTTCTCTTCCCCACCCCCAAGGAAAGAGGCAATAGTAAACCGTTTCTGAAATGTTGCCAAGAAAGCTGTAGGGACCTGTTCAGGACTCAAAGGCCACACACACACACACACACACACACACACACACCAAAATTGCTCTATAAATGTTAAGAGAACTTTCTTTAACAAACACCTATTTGACAAGAAAGATCAATTGCATATTTGAAACTTCAAACTGATGTTATTGTTGAATCACCAAGTCGTATTCAACTCTTCACAATCCCATGGACCATAGCATGCCAGATCCCGCGCCTTCCACCCTCTGTCAGAGTTTGCCCAAATTCATCATGTTCATTGCTTCAATGACACTATCTCAATTTGATGAGTTCTGTTTAACAAGAACACATAGCATTCTGTGCATAAAATTCCATAAAGTGCATAAAGGTGAGAACTCCAGTCACAGAAGAACAAAGCAAATAATTGCAAAAGGAGCCAGGTTTTCTATCATTAAATTAACCTGGTTATATCCGAAGAACTTTTCTTATAATTTAATACAGCTGTTACTTTCTTCAAATGAAAAACAGACATGGAAATCAAGAACCATGTTTTTTTTAATTGTTATTAGGTTTTTATTCCCACCTTAAAAAAATATTTGAGAACTCAATGCAGGTACTCAATACTTCTTCCTCTTCCTATTTTTCCCTTTCGCTGTGAGATGGTTTGAACTGAGAGAGAGTGTCTAGCCCAAGGTCACGCAGCTGGCTTTCATTGCTAAGGGAGGCCTAGAATCAACTCGGTCTACTATTTCTAGACTAGCAAGTCAACCATTACAGCAAAATAATCATTAAACTGGATGTTTTGTAGTTATAGAATTATAAAACAAAAATCTGGTTAATGGGGAGAAATTGTCTGTTTACCCTTAAAAGGATTCTGAAAATCAGAGAAAAAATAATCAGGACTAAAAATTGCTAGTATACAAGTAGTAAAGTAAGGGTATTGTTACTTCTCTTAGAATCCAAGGCACTTGGGCAAATTGCTGTCTCTTTCATGTCATTAGAAGTGACAGTTCTCTGAATACTTATTATTTTATTTTCTTCCTACAAATAGAAACCTACTCCCAACTCAAATTTTCTTAACAATCAAAATTATTTACAATATTAGATGAAATAATATTACATAAGAAACAAAACATATATGCATAAAATATACTTCATTCTATTTTTGTGAATGTGAATGTAAATTGTGAATGGTTTTATGCATAGCTATGAGTAAATTTTTATATTTTCAAATAATTATTAGTAACTGTATTTAGTTCCTAGAGTGGTTAATAAATATTTGTTTCTGCAGGAATTTACTATAGATCCAGAAAAAATACCTTTGTGTTCTTTGTATCATTCACTCCATCATTACAAATACCACATGTTTCTCAGATGCAAAGTAGAGGTGAGTCTTTCTCTAGTTTATGTTATTATTAATTGTATTCATTAGTACAGTAGATTCTAAATCCATCAGACTCAATTAAAAATCACATGAAGTTATGCTATTTTCAGAAGATATTGAGCAGCTTTGTATTTAATGAATCAAGTTTTACAGATTGCAAAAAGAGAGCTAGTTTAGTGTCATAGTTAAGACATCAGGCTAGAAATCATGAAACTGTGAGTTCTAGTCCCACCTTACGTACAAAGGACTGGATACCTTGGCTCAAACTATCTCTCAGCCCTAGAAAGGCACCAATGTCAAACCATTTCTGACATTGCCCAAGAAAACTGCTAGGACACGTCCAGGCATTTGCCAGGAATCAGATATTGATTCAAACACATACACACAAACACTCATACAATTGTAAAAGTGTCTTATGTCATGGGAACACAAGATACATAATACTTATTAAACCCAAATGAATGTAGATCTCTGAGGCAAGGTGGATTAAGAGAACTGAAAGACATTACTTATGGTCTTATTGATTCCTGTGTGTTCATTATCTTGAACAATTGTGGATAATGTGTAAACCTGAACTGGAACAGAAATTTAGCACAAAAGAAAAGAATTTGTTTTTTAATACCTATTGAAGCTTCAGGAGTTTACAGCTGGGGATAATGAGAGTTTTGATCTATCAAGAACCATTAAAAATATTGGGGATTCTACCATAGAAAGTATTGTAATAGCTCATTAGAACATCAGGAAGCATACTTAGAAGACCATTGAATAATCCTGAACTTCATTTATATTAAGGTTACTTTTGTCACTCTAGTAAGTGCAATATACTCTCACAGATCCTAGGACAGGATTGTCAAACTGGCAGGACGGATGCATCACGAAACGTCATGTGACAGCAATGTGACACTGCAAGTTTGACACCCGTACCCTAGGAGAATGCATGCATATATCGTTAAGATATTAGACCTCAGTACTAGGAGAAATAATAGAAAGCTAATGGTGTGACATTTAATTTGTTCTCTCAATAGATTTCTTCTGTTCAAAAAAAGAATGCAGATCTAGGTCAAGAGGAAATTGTACAGCAGTGCATGAAAAATATAAAATGGATAGAAGATCTCTTTGAGAAGTTTGGTGAACTTTTGAATCATGTTCAGCAGAAATGTTCCTAACAAATATTGATCCAAATGTCACTTTTTTGTGTTCTATTCTACTCATCAAAATAAAAGGCTGATAGGCTGGTCATGCCAAACTTTATTCTAGGTCAAAAGAAATCATGGTGTTCTGGGTTCCTTGGATTCTAATAAGAAAGAAAAAAATGCTGCCAAGCAAATGGAACTACAAACAAACCTGCATTTTTAACTTGGAGAATATTTTTTCCTATTTTGTAAATTCTTGTTTTGAAATAACTTAGGTTTATTTTTGACAAATGATCAAAGCATGTACTTAAATATATATATTTTGGCTATGATTAAAATAACTTTTAAAATATCATGCCATTTTTTTTTTACTCTGAACACTAGGAAGAGTCACAGTGATGGTAACTGTGACTGAGCTCAAGTAGAGTCTCGAACATTTTGCAGAAAAATCTTAATAGGACAAGGATTACTGTATGTGAATAATCTCCATCTACATTCAAGAATACCATTCTCCTTTACGGACTCCAATTATGTTCAGGAAACTCAACATGGATTTGGTGCAATTCTATGACTGCTATTTTGTGACAGATTATATTATAATAAAAACAATTACCTTAATTATTTTCCCTAGGTCTTGAAGAAAGACATATTTTTTCTTTACATTTGTGTCCCTTATTTTTCCCTTTTGGAAAGAAATCAATTGTACATTTTATTCCACAAATAGTTGTATTTTTCAGAGGAAAAAGTATTGTGGCTTAAAATTGTTTCATGTACCCTTGTGATACATTTCCAATTGTCTTCTTGTTCATTTTATATATTAATTTCATATTGTAAAGTATGTATCTTGAGATTATCTTTGTTTATACAGGTTTGCTTCAGTGTTAACCATGAATGAGACATATTAGACTTCATAAGTTTACTTTATGTATGGTTATATTGACAGATTGCAACTTATTTTCTGATAAATGAAAGATGATTTTTGTCTTTAAACTGCTTGATTAATAGAACATTTCCATAAACAGCTACTACATTGGTCTTCAGTAAAGTGAGGATTAGCAATTGACCAGACCAGTGTTGAAAACAATTGATTTTTTTTTTTATTTTTTTTATTTAGAATTGGTAATGGCAGAACTGTTTGTTTCTTGGTGCCTTTTCAGAGTCTCAGGCATCTTTTGTAAATGACTTTCTCTGATTAATTATTTTTCAGTAGCAATCAGTAGTCCCACTTAAGTTACAAATGGGCTATACTTGCATCAATAGGAAGTTTTTTTTAATTTGCTAACAGAATGCCTTACCTCAGCCATTGATTCAATATGTGCAGGACTTGTTATTTAGATTTTGTGAAACTGAAGATCCTGTACATCCATCAAATAATATATAAAAACAATTCATTTCTCTTTTCACTGCCACTTAGTGCCTTAATTTCAACCAAGAAAGCAGGTTTCCTCATTCACAAGCTAATCAGGATATTGTTATATGTAGCATGATGTATTTTCTTTAGTTATACACGTGTTCATGCACCTTAGATATGTAAAATGCAGTGAAGGGCTATGTTCATGAGCAATTAAACTAGGATTTCAAAATATCAAGACAGCATTTTGTTATCTTAATGTGTATGTTATGTTGGACAACCTGTGTATTTTCAAAATATGTTTTCATGTTATTGGAAGTAGTATTCATTTCATTCCTCTGATGGGTTCAATCAAAATATTGATAGAAATTGATAATTGGACTTAAAGAATCTATTACTGCACTTGCCTTGAAAAAAGTCAAGTTGTGGTACTATAGCTATGAAACTAGAGATAACATTCTGTGCTAAGATATGGCTTGTTTTAGTTATGATTTTGTTCCATACGTGATAGTACCTGTGTTTACACAGAAATAACTTACAAAACATGGTTTACATGGCTTAGATTCTGGATCCAATTAAACTGAAACAAACTACCAGTATATTATGACCCAGCACAATATGTTAATTTAGTCCAAATATACTGTATTTCCACTGATCCTATGGAAAAGTTAAAGATAAAGACTAAATCTTGATTTCCTGCTTAAGAAAAATTTGTCAAATGCATCTGGTTACAAGCAATAAACCATTACTACTTGAAAGTGGGAACTTAGCATATGCACATTTACTGGAAATAGATACACTTCATTCTTACCTTAAAATTGCAATCTTATATTCATCTGGATACACGTCCCATTTATTTATAGGATTTTTTTTTACTAAATCAGCAGGACAGCAGTATAAGAATACTATTCTGTATTTTTTAAAAATACTTTTTTCTGCTATAATGCAATAGCCTACTTATTTGTGATGGGTATTTAAAGAAGACCTGGCTTCCATATTAATTTCTAAAACACCAGAAAATATTTCAATTGAAGGTTTATAAATGTATCCAAAAATAGTTCTTATACCATCAATTTAAAACATATCTTGAAAAAAGCTTACAAATAAAAGATGTAGGTGGAGTATGACTGGTTGAACAATTATAACATATACTAAACTAGCAATTAAAATAACACAATGGTCTTAGTTGATAAACTTTAGAAATTTTGTTTTTTAAGTATTTCAAAGGCCTATCATTTCACTTCCCACCATCAATTCTTAAACCATCTTTGAAATTTGTATGCATTCAATGAACTAAAGAGACTTTCAAGTTTCAGACTGCAGTCTTACAACAGTCTGTTCAACTTTATTAAAAATAATAGAACTTACCATTGGTTAATCTATATGTAACTATACTGCTGTGTCAGATTTCTGTTTTAATCTTAGGTGACAACTCAAAAAGATGGGGAAGAGCTCAGGATTATGGAAGTAAATATACAAGTTTTTGTGTTTTAATAAATCAGAGATTTATTAAAAAGATTCCCCCATCAATTAATATGACCTCAGTGTTTCACACAGAGACTTAGTACAATATTTGAGGATGTTGTTATAAATTATGCAAATTATGAGGTCTGTTGAGTTTTGTCATGGAAAAGAAAATGTATTTTGAAAGACACCTATTGCCTTGGACGGCGTCATATTTTGGGAATAAATTTGTGGTAAGGACCCAAAATGTTTCAGGTACTATCGCTCACAGTCATAGAACTTTTTGTTGAAAATCATATTTAATCGGATCTCCTGTATTCACTGAAATATATAGAAACCTGCCATAGTAGACACCACAGTGTTTGTTTTCTGGTGGTATTCAAAATGCAACAATTTAGGATAACAGCAATTGAAAGGACAAATATGTAGCAACAATAAATTTTATTTTCATTCATTTATTCAAACTTAATTTTTGCAAAGCCATTTATCTTACATCTACATTTGAAGCATATTATTTAGAGATTTAACACTTAAGTACAGTCCTTATTCTGACAAAAAGTTCAACATTCCTTTGGAGAATTATTAGCACAGTCACAAAAGTAAAGTATCTAACTGCCTCACGTAAACATTGAAATCACTGGGGTTTGATTCCAAATTAATCTTTTTAAAGAGAGTTTTTCTGTTTAAGCTAATGAACTACTGGTAATAAGTTTAGATATTGTGCAAGATCAAAATAGTTAAATTTTCTCAAAAGAACATAATATCCTAATTTCACAGTTTTTTAAACTAACATTTGAATTTGCTCTCCAATATAATTTAGCATCTGATTGCAATGAGAAAAAACAATTTAATTGATATTCTGTATAAAAATATTACATCATTATTTTGACATTTCAGCAATCACTGTTTTATGTTCTGAATTCTAAAAATGTGAATTACCTGATGTTTTTGATTCCAGATATGACTTGTTTTAACAGAAAAACAAATGGGTTGTACAGCCTGCTCCACCAAAACACAATCTAATTTTCTTTTTCCTTTAATAATATATGGTTAAAAAGAAACTCAAACTGTCTTCCAATAAATGGTTGTCATAGAGAAAATATTTTTAAATATTTAAAATTGTACTACTATTTAAAGTAATTTAAAAAAATGAACAAGCCAAAACTGTTAGGAAACTGAAAATCAGTTATAGTCATTTATTATTTTGTTGATGACAGTGTTTCATGCCATATACTTACATACTTTTTGTGTATTATTATACAGTGCACGCATTTCTTTTATCTCTTCCTATTTAAGTTAATGCTCACAAATGCATGGTAATACCTATCCTCTATCTACTACAAACATGTAGGCTAGGATTAATAAAAGATATTTTCTAGCCAGTTTTCACGTGGTCCACAATGTACAGACTTGTGACTTTTTCATAATTTTTGTATTTTTGATTTGATGTTACTAAATTCATTAAAGTGTATACAGTTTTTCAAAATATTGGGTACTCTTATTGGTTAATGTGGAATAATTGTAATATCTGAGATAAATATGCTCTATTCATTAGGGGAAAAAAACCTTGCTGTATTTTGTTAATATGATGGTTCGATTATTAATTTATAGGACTTATTATGGTCACCTACCTCATGCAGGGACTCTAGACAGCTCACTAACAATGCATGAACAAACCATAGTTAAAAACATACCCTTTCCTCACTGACAAAACCAAACAGCCTCATAGCTAAACTGTTACCCTAGCCCAATGCTTGAGGAAGAGCCAGGTATTCACCACCCTCTGGAAGGCTAAAAGAGTAGGGGTCCCTCTCTTCTCCAGTGGGAAGCTACTTCAAACAACTGGGTTGGCCACTGAAAAGGCACATCTTTATGGTCAATTAGATGGCAATATTTAAGCAAGGGGGCGCATATACCCTATCCTAGTAGGATGTAGATATCGTCAGGGAGAGATGTCCCCACAAGCCTTCCTGTTGTCACATTGCATCTTGAATTCCACAGAGCAACTAGAAAGCTGTTCAGGTGACTAAAGCCCAGATGACTGAGCAAGGCCTTCCAGTCTAGGAATGGGCAAAATTGGTGGATTTATGCAAAGACCTCTCTTAACCATGACTGCCCCCTATTCTTCCAGCAGGACCACTGAGTCCAAGAGGACCTCCAAATTGGGCACCATAGTTGTACAGGGGAGCATTTCTATCTGTAGAGTCAGAGTTGGCAATGTTCCTGACTCAGAGAGGCTTAAAAAAACACAACCATCGCATTTGCTAGGGTTGACTTTCTCCCCCTTCAGGCCCTTATAGCCTTCAGGCATTGAGCCAGCATCTGAATGGCACCACTTGCCTGGCGTGGAGTAGAGATGTATAATTATGTATCATCAGCATTCTGATGATACCGAACACTATGCTGGTGGATGACCTCTCCCAATGGCTATATAAAGATGTTAAAAATGTGGAGGGGGAGCCTTGAGGTAACCCATATAATAGGGGCCTAGGGCTGGACTTCTACAGCACCAGCCCTGACTAATACTGAGCACAGAGAAAGGAGGGGAATGTTCAGGATGTTTTAATTTTGAGTGAACCTGTTGTTCATATGATGAAATAAAAAGCAGAAGACAAATCATTAAAACTCAGACCATTTATGAATTGTAATAAAGTCAGTGTTATTTCAGCAAGGTTGAAGCAATAGGATCCAAACAGTAGTAGTATTTCTATATTGAAAAGTCTTCCTATTGACTTTTATGCCTTTATTACTGATTGTTAAACACAGTTATGTATAACGTACAAGGATGGATACAAAGTATTCCAACATGTGGCAAACTTGATTATGTGCCATCAAGTTGGTTCAACTCTTAGTGATCACATTGATTTCCTCCATTACAATCTCCAATCTGATCTTTCAGATCTCTGAATAGGGCATCTAGGGCCACTGTAGAATCCATCCACCTTACTATTGGTTACCCTTCCATCTTTCCCAACATTAGAGCCCTTTTTGGAGAACTAGGTCTTCACATAATATGTCTAAAGTAGGATAAATAGAGCCTGATGATTTGTGTCTGTGAGTTGAATTGTTTGATGATCCATTTGTTTTCTTATTTTCCTGGCCACACAATTCCCAGTAGTTTTCTCCAACACCAAAATTCAAAATCCTTAATACTCTTCTGCTTCTTCAATATTCAATTTTTGCTTCCATAGAATATTAAAGGAAACTATAGCTTTCATATTTTGATCTTTAGAGGTATAGATACATCACAGTATCTGAATATGTTTTATAGGCCTTCAAGTGCTAGCCCTCAGCATATTTCTTGATGTTTCATCCTTTGTGGTCGATGAAAAACAGTAACCATATATCACTTTAATATCTTTTAGAATTATTCTATAGCTGGCTGATATACCTGTCCTCTTTAGCTTGGTCTATTTAATTTTAGTCACTTTCACTATGCTCTTTGACTTTTCTTACTAGACCTTGCATAATGTAGTTTCTCATTAGGACAATGAGATATTCTCAGATCACCATTTTTTTAAACACTCCACAACTTGACATGATCAACACAATCAAAGGTCTTTCAGTAATTAATGAAGCACATATTGATTTCTTTTTAGTATTTTTTGGCTTTTTCAATTATCCATCATGCATCAGTAGTAATCTCTAATGATCCTCAGCCATTTCTAAAGTCAGTTTGAATATCTAACATCTCTTTTTTCATGGAAGACTCTAATCTGTGTTGAATAATTTTAAGCATTTAATTTGATAGCATGTGAAATTAAGGATATAGTGTGATAGTTTGTACACTTTGTTAAATCTGTTTTTGGGTATTGGAATATAGACTGATCTCTTCCAATCTGTTGATCATTGTGTCCTTCTGATTTACTGCCATAATTTAGATAGAACCTTGACTGATTCTTTTTTTATTTTTTACCATATGGGTATTCTATCAGTTGTAAGGATATTCCGTACCCTTACAATTTGGTAGACTGGGGTAGTGATCTAACTTCACCTTCCAGTATTAGAGGTGCTTGCAAAAGGGGAATATTTTCTAACATATTGTGGATGTTAACATCTCTACTGTATAGTATTTTGATATATTCTTTCCATCTTTGATATCCTTGGAATCAATTACTATCTGTTCATTGGTGTTCTTTATCATACCAATTTGTGGTGGGAACCTCCTCCTGAGTTCAGATATCAATTTAAAGACTTTAATTATGTGTTTCCATCTTCAATGTCTTTGCAGATGTTGTTGCAATACTGTTTTTGTCTTCTATTAGCTCTCTGAAACTCTTTATTAAATTCCTTTCTATGTTTCTTTTTTGGCTTTGACTTCTCTTCTCAGCAATTTCCATGGTTAGTTCTAACATCTACTTTTCTTTCTTTTCTTCCTTTATTTTGGTCATCCTTTTTTCACATTCATCCTTAACTTCTTTGTTCATACCACAATTCCTTTGGTGTTTTATCAAAGAGGTCCAGATTTTAGAGTGATTCCTGATGTATTCCTTGAAAATGGTGCATACATGCTCAAGTTCATATCATAGAAACTGGTTGGTTTTCTTCTTTACATTAACTTGGAACTTGTACAAGAGCAGATTTGTTCCTCTCAGCACCTAGTGCTGATTATAGTCTTTGATACTATAATTGTGCACTTCCTTTTAGCAATATTATAGTCAGTTTGATTTCTATACACTCCTTCTAGTGCGTCCATGCACAGAGACATCATTTTGGTTGCTGGAAGGCAATGAAGATGAGCTATGAAGAAATCAGTGGAGTGGCAGAAATTGGTTAGTGGATCTCCTGCTTCTTTTTATTTCTTAAACCATATAATCCAATTTTCTTCTTTCATGTTTCCAATGTTGACATTCCAATCTCCAATCACAAGTAGCACATCTTACTGTCATGTTCTGTCAATTTCAAATTGGACTTGATCATAGCAGCACACAAATTAATAATTAAATGAATAAAACTCATCAACCTGCTTCTGCATCAGCGGCTGAAGCTTAGTTGAATGATTATCATACTAAAGTGTTGTTATTTTGAAAAGATTGGTTTTAAAGGACACACCCTATTTCAATGACGCTATTAGTATCCAATACTTAGTTTTAGATACAGATAGTAATAAATATTGTTGAAGTTTCATATCCATATATATTCGAGCGGCATGGTGGCCTAGTGGTGAAGATGTTCACTTCCCACTCAGAAGGTTGAGAGTTCAATTCTAGGTAGTGGCATATATTTCTCTCCCTAAGGTGCAAAGAAAAAAATATCTGCTGCAAACTCCACTTGGCGTCAGGAAGGGTATCCAGCCAATAAACACTCTGCTCCATCTAGTCATTCTACCCCAAATTAAGAAATAGAGTTATAAAAATGGAGTTTTAAGAGCACCCTGCCATAGCGCGGGAATAACACTAGGAAGAATACATGAAATAAATGTATTATATAAATGTATTACATTTTGAAATTGCACACAGATAATGAATTTGGATAGAATTTGACTTCAGCATTACACTTTACAGAATGATACATAGATAAAAATTCTCTTATAAATTTGTACACATCCTGAGTATTTTTCAAATAGCAAAACTGATGTGTTGATTTGCTCCTATTTTTCATTCTTACTATTTCCAAAAATCTGTTAATAACATAAAACTTAATTTCTTCTAGTGTGGATCCCACTGAATTTAATGAATTTTCCTCTCTGTAAGCCTGGTGAGGACTACAGCCTTAATATTTTCATATTTTGATACTCCTCCCTCCCAACTTCCTTGTTTTTTCTGCCTTAGGCTAACTTAATGCTACAAATAGGATGCAAGCTTCCAGGATCAATCAGGTTTATTAAAAAGTCCCAAAAGACGGGCACTGTATCTGATTTTTAATAGAGAAAATACACCCACTGACTCATACAAATCAATGTGGAAAAAATGCAATAGGATAACATTAATTCTATTTTGGCACCAACTCTAAACACCTAAACCCTTTATGCATTTATCTTAGAGTAATCTCCAATGGATTGGATCTAGATTCATTCATGCATAGAATAAAACCATTGGAATCAACAACCCTTAGTTATGAGTAACACAAGTTCCATTAATGGGAGCTACTTCTGATAAATTATGCCAAGATTTGTGCATCTGTTTTGCATCTAATGAAATAAAACAAGGAGTGCAGTGTTTACACATATGCTGTTCTCTCTGTGATGACTTAGTTCTTCACATCCTGATACACTGAACAATTTTGTTGCTGGATCATTTTGTAATTTGTTCCTCAATGAGCCAAGTACCATAATAAATACTGCTGCCATATACCAATATATTTCATATGAGAATTCCAAATATCAGAATTATATCTGTAGTACATGACATAAAGCCCCATAATTACAGCTTTATTGATCCGAACTTTCTGCTGAATTTCATGTTTCAGCACTGTTTACAGAGATGCATTATCTCAATAGTTTACTTCAAGTGGTGTTATACCCCCAACTCCACCAGCTACATCTAGTGGGGCCAATGGTCAGGGTCACTGGCTGTTTTATGTTGGATTTAACAAGGCTTACTTCAGCTATCTAATTATACAGGTTAAAAAGTTACATTTATAGTCCCCCTTATCTATGCTGGAACAGGAGGAAACATGCACATGCATTCTGTTGTAAAGAGTTAGATCCTATCGCTAACTGAAGATTATTCTTACTCATACAACCGGATCACCATTCTTGTCTTTCTATCTAAGTCTAATATTTTAGAAGACAGGTGGTACAGCGCAGGGCATTTCTAATGCATAGAAAGCCTCCTCAAATACTTAAACCACTTAAATCTACACACATTGATAAGAATTTTCCGAAGTTCTTTTTAAATAACTGGATATGAATAGTAATACTCTTTTCTATCACATTAGATCGCTTTGGCGGAGCAACCAATGCCATTATTCTATTATAACGAAACATTAAAAACAAATCATCCGAGGTACCGGCCTTTACAACAAGGAATAAAAATGGCTCTTTACACCTCAGTTTTTTCATCCAGGAGGAGACCTTCATCTCCTCGATTTAGACTTAGAAGCGTATCCGAAACTCCGCCCCGGAGAACCCATTTGGACCAATAGCAACGTCCTGCGCATCTAAGGGCCTCGCCCACTTACCCCGGCGAAGAGACCACTAGGAGGTAGCGACTGTTTGTATCATTCGCGGAGGCGCGTTTGGCGAAAGCGGCTGCGCTGATGGCTACGGTGAAAGAGAAGGCGGCAGCTTTGAATCTCTGCGCGGTGTATAGCCCCGCCAACAGACCCCCAGGTAAGGCTTGGATTCCCGGGATATCTTCCAGGAGGGGAGCCAAGACTTGGAGTTTTTGTATTTTAAAGAGAAGGGTAAAGCTACTGGCACGGTGAGGCGAAGGGAAAAGAGTAAGGAAACTCGACCGGTCGGGACGGATTCTTTCAAGCTGGTGGTGCCGCAGGGAAGGAAGAATTCCCTTGTTTCGCTCCCGCGCTTCATGGTAAATAAGGACGGGAGACAACTTCCCGTCGGATTTGGGCGTTAGTACGTTTCTCTGCCCCGCTGCTCTGAAGAGATGGGTCCCCCAGTCCCGGTGGTCTGGCTCCCCCTGGGCTCCCGCGCCCGAATTGGTCGTGGAGAAAGATGTTTGTTGCCCCGTTGCCCTTCCTTGTGCGGTTTTCTTTCCGCCTCTCTTGTCTGATGAGGAGAAAGGACTGGCCCGGCCCTCTGTCTACTCCGCCGCTGCTTTGGACGAGGTGGGTAGTAAGCAACATGCGGCGCTTGTCCCGGCTGGGGAGGATATGTGCTTAGGCGGACTCCCTCCAACCTACTTCCCAGCCCTGCTAGTTTAACGCAGGGTTTCCTAAATGATGGCTCTGCTTTCGCGGTTTCCGTCCGCCGTGTTAATTCAAGGAGGAAATGCCGTTTTGTAAGCAGAGATTATCTGGTACTTCCTGCCGACCTTCTTCTGCCTTAAGAGAAAGGGCTTGTTAGTTTCTCCCTTTTTCCTAAAAAGTTAAGAATGGTTGCCAAGGGTGTTACCGTAGTCCCTCTTTATAAAAGGCATCAATAAATGATGGTTTATGTTAAGCTTGAAAAACTCTACCTTTGCTTTAGGTAGCCTTGGGGAAGGTTTTAGGAAATTAGGTATTTTCTTCCCACTTTGCGGATAGCAAACTAGGAAACTCTCCTGACTGAAATGTTGCTAATCAACATAAGCTCCGTAGTACTTATACCAAGAATATTTTTTGCAACCGTACCTCATTTGTTCTGTATTCTTTCCAATTGCTCCAGGCCATATTCGCATATGGCCCTCAAAATAGGTTTTGCAATCTGTCTTCCGAAGCTTATCTCTATCTCCTGTTTTTGTGGCAGTCCAGGGTTAAATTTTGAACAATTGGCAAACCAAGACACATGCACACAAAAACTAGTTCCATTTGTTTAAGCAGAATGCCTCTAGGTATAATTACTGTGATTGCCCTGATAAGAGTATATTTGAAAGGTGCTATTTAGAGGTTTCAAGGTGAGGTTTCCATCCTCCCCAGAGCTGATTTCAGCCACTTTGGCACCCTAGGCAAAGTCATATTCTGTTGCCCCTTGCAGTTTGGCTCATCCTCTGATGTTAGGAATTGCAAAAATGCATCCTCTCATGATTATAAAAATCATGACTATAAAGCTAAAAAACTGAAAGGGGGGAAACCCCTTCAATTTTTTAGCTTTATAGTCATGATTTTTATCCCTGGACAATTTTTTTCTTGGACATTTTCATCCATTTTGCATTGTAATTTTAATTAAGTCAGCATCCATTGCTGTCATGTGGCTTTCACTATCTATTGTGTTTATTGCTAACCCTGCTCCTAATTGTCAATATGTCAGATGAATAGAATATGTCTTGGAAACACAGTAGTAGCCTACTCATAATTATTACAGGCTGACAGTTCCTATTAACAACTGAATAGATGCGCCCATGTTACACATGTCAGAGGAATTTGTTTTAATGTGGATAACTATAATAATTATAACTTACAAATAATTGTAATAAACATTTTGTGGGGAAATTGTGTTACAACTATTTTAATCTTAAAAAGAACCTGTTGTGTTTTTTGTTGCCAAAGGATTTAGATCAAAATGGCATCTTTATATGGCACTAGGTTATCTTATTATCTATTATATCCTTATGCACAGCCTTTTATTCAATTTTCCCACAATACAACAGTCTTTTTGCTTTCTTTTTAACAAAAGAAACACCTGATTCATTTTCCTGAATCATCACAGTGGTCTCAAAATCAGCATGGTTTCTCCTAAATGGTTAGACATTGGTTCAATAACCCATGTTGACTGGGGATTGTGGAAACTGGTATTAGCCTACTCCAAACTGGTGTCTGTATATTTGAAGTCTGGCAGAATTGAGGTAGCCATAGAAAGTCATAATGGGAATGGTACCTGAAGGTTATAGCAAAGAAAAAACATACTTAATTATACATGTATTAACAGCAGCTAGAATTGTATTTGCTAAAAATTGGAAAAGTAATAAGATACCAATAGAGGAAAAAGTAATTGAAAAAATATTTGAATGTGCAGAAATGAATAGATTAACATTAGAAATCAAGAAGAATCTGAATATTACATGGCATGGGACTTGTTTTATAAATGGCTAGAAAATAAAATAAATTAAAAGGGATTAAATGTATTTATAAAGCAATAAGAGAAACTAGTGTAATAGACATACTGAATATTACATATATATGGGAATGTGATTATTGTTATATTGAAAAGAATATTATTAGTAATTGTTAAGCGCATGAAATATGTACCTAATTGACACAATTGAAATGGAATGAATTTATTGTATGTTAAAATAATTTTTTAAAATAATAATAATCAAAAAGAAAGTCATAATGGTCCCAGCCAACATGATACGAATAAGTGATAGGAAACTGAAGTGTAGCAACCTCTAAAAGGTGGCAGATTCCCCATTCCTGAAGCATTAGAGAATTGTCTTTTCCCTATCCAGCTACAAGGTACTCTTTTTTTTTTATTGGCCATTATGGGCTTTGACTATAAAGTCCTTTATATCAATATCATACACTTTACAGTTAAATTGGTCTACCTTCTGATGAACTTTTTCAAAGATTATTTGCACTTTTTATGTTAATATAAAGACTATTAACCTATCCTACTAGAAGTGTTACATTATAATTTTGTGCTGGAATTTCTAGGAAAGAGGAATATTAGTAGAATCCAGTGCTATCCAGTTGAATGAGAGTTCAAAATGTTTATTTTCTCTTCTTTTCTCCTCTCTTCCTCCTCCTCCTCTCTTCCTCCTCTCCATTTCCCCTCCTCCTTCCCTTTCTTCTCCTTTCCCTCTCTCTCTCCCCCGCTTCCCTTTTCTTTTCTTTTGTGGTGGGCTGCACAGTCTACATGTCATTGGCAAGTTTGAAGAGCCAATTTTAGTTCGTGATAAGTGCAGAATGTATTAATTTCATCATTTAAAACACATAAGACACCTCCTCAGAATAGTCCATACCTCAGCCTACTTCTGGAATATAGGCTTTAGTATGCCAAGCAAAATCTCTTTGTGCTCCAATGGCACTAAAGGAATTTGATTTTAACTAATGCCACCTCAAGTCAGAGAGAAAAGCTTCAAAAGTAAATGAATAATTTATTTGGTAATCCCCGTTTGGAAAGGATTCTTTAAAATAAGGAGTACAGGTAGTCCTTGACTTACAACAGTTCATTTAGTGACCATTTGAAGTTAAAATGGCACTGGAAGTAGTGACTGAGGACCATTTTACACACTTAAGACCATTGCAGCTACCCAATGGTCACATGATTTACATTCAGATGCTTGACAACTGACTCATATTTATGATAGTTGCAGGGTCCCAGTCATGTGAATCACCTTTTGCGACCTTCTGACAGGCAAAGTCAATGGAGAACCCAGATTCACTTAACAACCATGTTGCTAATTTAACAACTTCAGTGATTCACTTAACAAAATGTGGTAAGAAAAGTTTTAAAATGGGACCAATTCACTTAGCAACATAAATGTTGGGCTTAATTGTGGTTGTAAGTTGAGGACTACCTGTACATTAATTATACTGTTGAGAAAGAAAATACATCTGCTAATTCATCTTCTGTATTGCTTTATAAGGCTTCAGCTTGGCACAGAGACCATTTGGAGCCACTTACATTTGGAGCAGCATTATCCACGCGCTTCAGACCCAAGTTGAAGTGAAAAAACGACGTCAGAATCTGAAATGTTATAATGACTGTTTTATTGGCTCCAATGCAGTGGATGTTGTCTACGCCCATCTTCTCCAAAACAAATATTTTGGTGACACAGATATTAATCGGAGTAAAGTTATACGAGTATGCCAGGCATTGATGGACTACAAGGTGTTTGGGGCTATTTCCACCAAAGTCTTTGGAAAAGACAAACGATCTGTGTTTGAGGATAGCAGCTGCAGCCTCTACAGATTCTCAAATACAAGGAATCAAGTGGAGAACCTCTGCGGAAAACCGCATGGCCATTCTGTGCAACAAAGGTCTGGGTGAGAATGCTCAAGATGAAATATTGAAAAATTAGGAAGTTACATTTTTTTTCTGGTTGACTGCATCTTCCTAACTTCTATGCTCTCCTGGTTGTATGGCAGTACAAATCTCATAGTAAAGAGAGCATGGATTTGTTGGAATTAAAAGTTTTGTAGACCATCTAGAGCAGAGGTGGGCAACTATGGCTCCTTTACAACCTGTGGACTTCAACTCCCAGAATTCCTGGGCCAGTCACAAGATGTAAAGGGGCCATAGTTGCCCGCCCCTGATCTAGAGAATCCTAGATGGGGGAAATGTATATTGCATCTTGTTATTTGCCTAGAAGTAACAATGTAAGGACCATTGAAGTGTTTCTATGAAGTGTGTTTCATAGCTGGAGAGGCAGCCCAAAAAAGACCATAGCTTTGGTGCCACTAATCTGACTTCAAAAAGGAGAGACACCCATAAAAGTGTTTTAAAGGAATCTGTTTGGTTGACTACAGTGGCATTAAACATTAATAACATAACTATAAAACTACCTGACTTAGCAAAATAAACCAAGATTGCACTTCGATATTAGCGAGCTAATTTATGAGCATTGGCTGGTGATACTGGATTTGGGTCTTGTATCATTAAACAAAGTCCATCACAACCGCTAAGTGTCTGTTTTTTAACTTCAGTTGTCTGTATATTGAAAATAGCTACAACAACTACTTTAGTGAAATGAGGAAGCTTGAAAACTATTTTGCATAATATAAATGTTGGCAATAATTATAGACTATTAACAATTTATTCTTGGGAAATGAATTTGTTAGTGATCAGAATGACTACTATGGATAATGAAACATAAGAGAGCCAGCTTGGTCTAGTGGTTAAGACACCAGGCTTGAGTTATTTTTTAAAAAGGTGGGATACAAATAAATAAATGCACGTATGTAGATTTGTTTCTTTAATAGAAGGATCCATGTGATAATCTAATGTAAAGTAGATTAATTATGAAGAGCCAGTTTGGTGGTATACTTAAAGCAACAGGTTAGAAATTGGGAGAACAAGAGTTCTAGTACCACCTTAGGCACAGATTTAACTGCATGACTTCAGGCTAGTCATTTTCTGTCAACCTCAGAAAAGAGGCAATGGCAAACCACTTCTGAAAAGCCTTGCCAAGAATACTGCGGGGACATGTCTAGGCATCTCTAAGAATTGGACAAGAAATTCCCATTCCAATTGAGCGGAATTTTAAAAATGCAACCATATACAAAAATATTTCTAAAGGAAGTGTATATGTATGTATCCATTGGAGTTATAGTACAGAAGTTTGTATTTGTGTATAGAAACAAGATCTAAATATTGCTATCAGTACTGATACTTCGATCTTCCATTCCTATTTTTTTAACTACAGACAGGAAAAAAGATTATTACTTGGTACATCATCAGTGAGATCAGAAAGTTTGGAGGATCTCTTAGAAAACCTGAGCCTAAAACCTGTTAATCCTCCCCAAGTAAACCCATCCTCACATTTGTCTCGTCAAGGTAAGGAGGATAGACATCATCTCCAGTAAAGCTTTTCTGTTTCTTAGATTGGAGACAAATAGAAAATTAATCTCTCTCCCATCATGCCCACTATAAAGCAAAAGAACATGTTGTGTCGGGTATTTGCTTGAATTCTTCACAGCTGCTAATTTTCTCACAAGCCTGACAACTCTGTGATATGGTTTCACATCATGGTTATCTTAGATAGTGTGAATCTATAACACATTAGAAAAAAAAATAGGTGGTACCTGAGAATAATGACAGCCTAGCCCTAGAAGATCACTAGTGAACAACCTGCAGCTCTTGATGTAATCCGGAATTCAGAGGGTGCATAAAACAGTATGTTCATATTAGAGATGGGAAAGGGAGAGTTATTTCTCAGGTTGTAGTCTCAAGCTCCTCAACAAAATCAAGTATTTCCATTCATGCTGAAGACAGTCGTGTCTCCTTCTCTTTCTCCTGCTGCTTCCACTTTTTCGGGTTTTTTTTAAAACACAAGTTTAAAGCACAAGTAGAGACACAAGTTTTTGAAGGAACAAGGAATTTGCTTCTGTGGCCTTGTCTCCTACTTTGTGCCTGACTTGTGGCTCTGTTATCAAACCACTTAGAGACTAGCAGTACAAATAGTCCATTCTTCTCAAGCCATAGCTGGTTTAAACAAGATGATTGTAACATGCGGCTGCCATATTCTTTCAGTCTGCTTCTTGAACAAGAACAAAAACTGATACTAACTTAGTAGCTAGTTCTATCATTTTTGTGTGTGTGTCTGGCTTTGCAGATTGCTCCAAAAAAATGTAGAAAACCCCAAACAAGTTCTTTGTTTAGTACTTCAAGTTAAGGATGTCATTGTTCTAACTGGAAAAATGTTAACAAGGGTTTCTTTCTTTTATGCATCCTTATTAGCATGATCTACGTGATTGATTTTCCCATCTAATAAAGATCTCTGGCAATTCAAACAGGAAAGAATGTAAAGCATTTTGGATACATTGAAGTCTTTACTGTTTGCCGCATAAATCTCTATTGGTTATCTTTTTTTATTCTGAAGTGCTTTTGTGGCTGATAATAAAGCAGGAGGAATAAATTATTTTAATGTTCTCTGCGGAAGAAGTCAGTCATCACAAGCAAAGACTGCAATGTTGGATTACATTTCTTGATCATTATATGTTTGTTAATAATCTCACTATTTGATTTGTGCCCTTCGTTTTTCCTAGTCATTAATGAAGTCTGGGAAGAGCAAACTATTGCCCGTCTCCTGCAGTTAATAGATCTTCCATTGCTTGATCCTTTACTTAAATACCACAAGATTGGATCCCAATATCCACAAACAAAGCAGGAACCTGAATGTAGTATCACAAACAACTATCTTGACCGAGAAATTCTGAAAGCTTTTGGTGATGCTCAGTAAGTATTTATGTATATATATATGTGTGTGTGTGTGTGTATGAATAGGAAGGCACACAAAAAATTTATCAGCAAATTTTATTTGCCTTCCTAAATATTTTTTTCAAGCAGCGAAGGAAGATATTCAAGTGTAGAGTAGACATGGGCAAACCTTTTTGTGATTTGAGGCCACATTTTTAATTTTGGAGAGTTTCCAAGGGGCATAATTTTATGGCCTCTGAGGGAAATGGGACTGAATGAGGGCCTTAAGGTAATTACAATTCTTCCCCTTTAGAAAATCCACCAATAGGAAAAAATCACTGTATTGATTGGGAGATGTGTTTGTGAGTGATGAAAACATTAGGGCCCGGGCACCCTTAAGTCCCCCTGCCAGTTCAGAAAGCTGAATATATTGGTCTCTCTTCCCACCTCCACATATTGCAGAGGACTTGTGGGCCATATGTGAGGTACAAGTTGCTCACTCCTGATTTTTGGGATGGCTTCTCCTCCTCCTCTGTGTCATAAGGTCTGCCCAAATGTGCCATGCTCAGTGGCTGCTTTATCTTCTTTAAGTAGAGATCCTTTCATCATTGTTCCTTTGGCCCTAGAATGTTCTTTTGACTTCCAGTGGGACTTATTCATAACAAAATGTTATCTACAGTATAGTCAATAGAACATTGTAGACATTATCTTTTTCTAGGGCAGATGAATGGCTGTCAGCAGCAATTGACTGTTTGGAGTACCTCCCAGATGCGATGGTGGTTGAAGTAAGCCGCAGTTTACCTGATCGGCCTGACAAAGTGCATGTGGGGAAACTGTTGTTGTTTGATACTGTTGGGAAGTACTACAGCCAAAAAAAGGAACCATTGCTGAACCATGTGCCTGAAATCCACCTGGGAATTGCTGAGTTGCTAGGTAAGTGAATGGATTTAACAAATGTTATAAAAAGCAAAGTGTTTTGTCATACAAATTTGTCATACATTCCCCCTCCTCCTTGTGTTGGCCTGTGTTGGTCAAACGGGGCCATCCAGAGAAAAGCAAGTATCTATGCGATCTCCAGCACACTGATTTTGAAAAGAGGGGGAATGCACAAAGGTGTACTTATAAAGACAATGGAGAATCTAAACATAGGCTGTTACTTTTCTTAATAGCCTTATGATGGGATGGAAGTAAAAATGGCAGCCAGTTTGATCTAGTGGGCAAGGTACCCAGCAGGTTGAGAGTTCTATTCCCACTTTAGGCATGAGAACTGGCTGTGCAATCTTGAGCCAGTCATTCCCTCTCAGACCAACACACCACACAGCGTGGTGGTTGTTGCGGGGAAAACAGGAACAGGACAGAGTATTACATATGCTTGCCACTTCGAGTTACAAATTTTTAACAAATAAGGTGGGATAAAAGGTCAGATGTGCATTTAAAATATATCTATTTGGCTTCAACAAATCAATTCTATTTTGCTTCATATTCACATATTGCACTAAACCATGCTTTCTTTTACCATAGTTTTTAAAGTAAACTACAGTGACCACATGCTAAGTCCTAATCTATGATTTAGAAACTCCAGTGTCAGACTTTATAGCTAAACTAAAATCAAGCAACAATGATGAATTATCACAGTGTGAAATCCACTCTTATGTGAGGGACAGTGATAAGTAGTGAATATAAGGCAACTTGACTTTTTTATTTAAATTTGAAGATATTGGGCTTCTCATCCAAGAAGCTTCTTTGGTTAACAGTGAAAAGTACCTTTGGGATGTAACCTTTAGTTTTACCTATATCACTGTAGAGTCCTCTGTAGCATGCAGAAGATCAGTGACCTTTGTATATACATAGGTAGTTCCCAATGTACAGCTATTCATTTAGCAATTGTTTGAAGTTGAAATGGAACTGAACAAAGTGACAGTCATACTTGTGACTATCTCAGCATTCCCCACAGTTACGTGATCAAAATTATTTACAATGGCTGCAGAGTCCTGGGGTCACGTGATCTTCATTTGTGAACTTTACAGCTGGCTTTTGACAAAGCCAATGGGGAAAGAAGGATTTGCTGAACGATCACCTTTAACACTTCTTCACTTAACAACTGCAGTAAAACTCTGTAAAAGCAACCATCTCCAAGTCAGGAGTTTGAATGCCATGACACCACTATGATCCTAATTAAAGCTATCTTTTATGCCTGTTTGCATGTAATACTTAAACATGACTTCTATGTATGTATTAATACAATTAATTTCTAAAGTGAAGCAGACAATAGTCAATATGTGGATAGCTCATGTATTTCTTATAAGGAGAAACTTCCATAATGAACATTGGAAATCTATAACAATGTGATAGCGATTTGCCAGCAGATTCATTCTGCCAGTATGTCATATTGGCAGTGGTAGTGGTGGTGTTATTTATAACTAACAAATAACTAACTAGGATTCTAATTAAATCAAGCTGTGATAAAAGGACCATGTTTGATAAAAGGACCATTTTCTGAAATATTTATGATCTTATCAAGTGTATTATTTTAATAAGAAATTTGAAGTACGTTCTGGTGCAGACCATGAAAAAAATTGAATATTGATTTAATCAATCTGATCTAAATTTATATTTCACATTCTTACATAGTTTATAATAAGGTGAAAATGGCAAACTATGCATATGTTCATCAATCATTATTTAAATAAAAATGCAATGTGATAATTTGGTTTGGTTTTCTTTCCAGTTAATGGAAAAACTGATCAGGCTTTGGAAGCCATTCAGCTCTATTTAAAATTATTGGATAGCCCTGCAAGAGAGGAATTCAGGAAACTGCTTTACTTCATGGCCGTGATAGCTCAGAATTCTGAACTTAAGCTACAAAGTGAGGCAAGTATTTTATGTGTGAAGCCTCCTTATGCTCTTCGGTGGCCTGGGGATGTGGATAGAGAACTTGTAGACCTTCAGATGTGCTAAACTACAGTTCCCAACAACGTAATCTACAGCAATCAATATGGTAATTCAGGAACACCAGGAAGGCTTCAGTTTCCTGAATCCTGTGTTAGTGGATCCTTCCAGTGTCAATGATTAGTGGCTGAAATCAAAGACTACAGTGGTACCTCAGTACATGTCATTCATTGATTCCGAGAAGTGTAAGGAGTACTAAAAAGAATAAATCCCAAACAAACCACATGACTTACCATGTGACCCTTTGTTTTGGCCAGGAATACCTTTGTCCCTTTTCCTATGTCAGCAAGATTCCCAGCATGGCCGACTTCCTGTCCACTCTCGGTGTCCATCCCCTCTCCTTTTGCAGCGACCTTCTCAGCATGGCTGACTTCCTGTCTGTTCTTTGCTGCCGTTCCCTTCTTCCTATCACAATATGTCAAGTACTAAACAAACGCTGAGCACTGGGATTGCATTTTCACAACAAAATGCGTTGAGTACCAAATTCGATGAGTTTTTGAAGCAATTGACTCCCAAGGTACCGCTGTAGGTAGGAAAAGACCACAATTATACTTATGGCAGCATGATTCCTCCTGAGAAGAGGAGCAGTGAAATGAGAAGGTGACCTCAACATGGATTTCTATACCATAATTATGAACTTCTAATATTGCCCCAGGAAAGCATCACAATAAGCTGGCTGACGTAGTTTAGTGCTTGAAGGGAGACCATGGGAAGAATGCAAAGCATGCTTGCTTATAGGTTGCCCTGAAATAAATCAATCTCATTTTTGCATGTTTTAAATTGCTTGCACTTGTAGAACTATGGTTGACTGCCCTTTTACAAGATGATCAATTTACTAAAACTAAAAGGCATGCATTTGAAACTGTCAATATATGCTATAATTATAGCTATAGGAAATGGGGTGGATCTAGCAGTACAAACTTTTAATCCTTCTGCTTCCGCCCCCCCCCATCGCTTCCTTCCCTGTTTATAGAGTGAAAACAGGATGGTTGTGAAAAGAATGTTCTCCAAAGCCATAATCAACAATAAAACATTATCTAAAGGAAAAACAGATCTTTTGATTTTATTTCTGGTGGACTATCAGAAAGACGTTTTAAAGGTAGGTATCCACAAGTCATTTTCTCCACGCTATTATGCATAATCTATTCCATTCTTAATAACTAACGTTATTTTATTTTGTTCAAGATTTCAGGGACGCTACATAAAATGGTCAGTGAAAAGCTTCTGGCTATACAGAGAGGTACAGATTCCAGTCTGAATATTGGTAAACTTTATTTTCATAAGCTTTAGTCATGTTAATAATAAACTTTTAGCGTGAGCTGCTTTGAGCATAGTCCACTATGAAAATGAAGCTGCTAAATAAGCCAATCTAGAAAAATCTGCTCTTTGGCAGGAAGAGTGACATTAAAAGTAAATCTATCAATATGGGCTATGCAAAACTTTACATGGTGTTTTCAACCTATTCAGAAGTACTGAATATCTCAGTGCTTACTATTTTCTATACTAAACGTCCTAAACTTCATGGAAAGAGAGTTGGGATTAGTTGGGCAACTTGAACCCTTTGAGTCTAAAGTACATTTAAGCAAGACAGTCCTCTACCTTTATCCAAAAAAATGGAAATCTCCAGGATTACTTTATGAATTTTAAATAGGGGAATATTGTGAAAACATTTAAGAAAACCATAATAAATACATCAAATGTCTATGATATATTTAATAATAAATTTTATTCTTATTCCAGGATATACCTTTTGCAAAAGGCTTGATGAATGTGAGTATCATTCCAGTGCCAAAAAAACTACAAAAATGGAATTGGTGTCTTTACTAAAAACTATTGATGAAGACTCCAGTCTCTCTGCCAAGGAACGCAAGAAGTTGCTAGATCAGTTCTATACTAGTAATCCAACTATCTTTTTGCAGTATTTTGGTGAGAGAGATGTTCCTGTGTATAAGGGTAGACTTGACTTCTAAAAATCTGTACTGTGTATCTTTACAAAATTGTTTTATATTGTAATTAAAAGTGTTATGTAAATAGGGGTGGACTCTACCTGTAAAACTGCTATTTAAAAACAATAAAAGCTATTGATTTATATTCTAAATAGTGAGAAAATAGTATTTCTCCTAAATGTGTAGGAATACATCATTAAAAGCTGAAAGCAAATATCTTTTGACCTCCTTTGTGAACACAAGCTCTTTGAGCAGAATGCAGTTCGGAGAAAAGAAATATAATTAAATTACTGATGGTTTTAGTTGTAGCATATGTTCTTGTTACAGTCACATAACACCTGGCCATGTATTTTGCTTCTGGCAGTTTATCCAATTTATTGTCATTTGACCAGTAGCATGCTGAAGTACACTGACAGAAATGGTCAGATGAGTGGTTGACCAGTACCACACAACACACCAGCTCAAAATAAGCAGTCATTCCTTGTATTTGAAAGCCAAATGATTGAAAGAAAAGCCATTTATTACACATTAAAACAACTGCTGAACCCTTTCTTTGTTTACAACCCTGAAACTGCCGATGAAAGTCTGGAATTAACACCATAAACACTTTTTAAATAATCATAATCTATGCAACACATAAGACAAATCTATACCAGGAATCTGTTTTACTGTGGCAAACAAAGCCTTTAGGTTCCTCCTCTAATTAAAGAGTAGTTGTAAATCATCCTTGGTGCTATACAAGTAGTTCTGCCCTTATATGGAGAAAATAATTGTATCAGTGTGGGAAAATTAATGTTGAATAAAAGGAAGTTAAACCAAGTGCAAGTAAGTTTCCAATATAACCTGTGAAAGTTGCTCCATTATAGGAAACTTCTATGCTCAAATCTGTTTATATTCTAAATGAGCTATGATGGCACAGTGGTTACAATGCCGACTAATTCTGATGATTGCCAGCAGTTTGGCAATTTGATTTTCACTAGTTCAAGGTTGTCTCAGCCTTCCATCCTTCTGAAGTTGGTAAAATGAGGATGCAGATTGTTGGGGGCAATATGCTGGCTGTAAACCAGTGGCCCCCAACCTTTTTTGTGCCACGGCCCGGTACCGGCATCACAAAATGATCCGTGGCCCAGTACCGGCATCAGCACGCATGACAAGGCATTTCCTCTCCCCCTCCCACCTCCCCTCCAGGTCTTCCCCAGCGACCCCTCCCTGCACGGAAGCCTCAGCTGGTGCTTTCGGGCTCTTCCTCGCCCCCCCCCCGCATGAGATCCTCCGAGCTGCGGGCTAAAGGCGGCAGGGCTCCTCCGGGCTGATCGCGCAGGCACCTGACAGCTGGGGGGGAGGGGGGGGAGAAGAGACCCGGAGCGTGACGTGGGTCCACTTTCCTCCCCACGGAGAACTTTTTTGTGTCTGGCGCGGGTAGTTCGGCGAGAGGCGGCGGCTCTATAACCCCAAAGGCAGCTCGCGCCTGGCATCAGCGCACGCCCACGCCCACACACAGAACACCCACTATCCCCACAGCGCGAGAATAACAGGAATAATAGTCTTCTTTCCCCCCCCACTCCGCCTGCCACTAGCCTTGCGGTTGCGACTTGTGTCCCCGCTCCTTGGCTGTTTTTCCTGCAACTGACTCCCGCCTCACACTTTTGAAAGAACGAGAGCGGCCTGAGGAGTCGTTGAAGCGCGCCCCATTGGGGCGGGGGGGAGAGAGAAAGGCGTATTATTACATGAGCCTTTTAAACTCGTGAGAATGGGCTTCCCAGGCAAAAACTTACATTTGGGCGGCCAGGATTTGTTTGCAAAACCGCTTCGCCTTCGCCAGTCCTCTTTGCAAAGCGCTGCTGCGGCTCTTCCTTTTTGCCTTTCCCTTCCCGAGGCAACGCGCCAGGCAGTAGCAACTCCTGACTCAGGGGGCCTCCGAGGGGAAGGGGAAGGAGGAGAAGAAAGGGAGAGGAAGGGGGGGCGGGGCTGATTCCCCCCCAAAATCGGAATTCCAAAGAATATCATGTCTGTCGAAACAAGATAGCGCCCAGCAAACCGGTGGCCTGGTAGAAAATGATCCACGGACCGGTACCGGTCCGGGGCCCAGTGGTTGGGGACCCCTGCTGTAAACCATTAGAGAGGGCTGTAAAGCACTGTGAAGTGATATATAAGTAAGTGCTATTGCTATTATCTCATAATATTTCATAACATAATGCCTCTAAATTACAAATACTTATTCAGGAGCAATTGGCATCAAAATACTTAGCCTACTGGTCGTCTGCTGGTTTCCTCCTAAAATCAGATTTTAATTTGAAAATACTTGTCTCTTTTTCTGAGTTCTCATTAGCTTCAGTGTACTACATTATGGTATTTCTGGCAGGATATATCTGTTTTGAAATAATGCTAAAGGCTGGTACTCAGCATTATAGATTTAGAAGATTGCTTTCAAATATTTTGTATGAAGGAAGAAATTTGAAACTCAGTAGAGTGGTAAAAATAAGCAATCAGATGTGTATTTTGTTCTTTTTCTAGTTTTGAATCAAACTGGATGAGGAAATTGATATTCTAGTTGAATCCTTCAGTTGTTTCAGATGTTTTGAATGTTTCTACACCATATTGAAAGTATATGTCAATTACTCCAAAGCATTTCTTTCAAGAAGAAAATTGACAAGTTTATTTGTTCATAGCAGTATATCAAAATGAGAGAACTATGGGAAGGTGTTGCTTGTCTAAAATATACAAACACCTGCTTCCAAAAAGAATACAAAATGTTAATAACTACTTGAACTGGGCAGTCATCTGGATTCATGTGATTTTAGACGTTGCCATAATCTTAAAACTATATTTTCCTAGTTGCATGTCCTCCTTCTACAATCTCAGGAAAAGACATCATTTCTAAACAGTTGCCAAATATGTTAAATGAGGTATCGCTATTTCAAACTCAAGTTCATCATCACTAAAAAACTTATAAGAATATTAAACCACTGAAAATAATTATGCCATTTTTTCTCACCCAGTTACAATCATTGCAACAAACCTGGTACCTTTCTATTCATACATGTGTAGCTTTGATGTAAAGCATAAATGTTATATATTATGTTATCTTTATGGGCAGGCAAACCATCAACTTCAGGGATTGATAAACTACAGGCATTCCCCATTCTTTCTTTTGAGTAGGCCTCAAATGATTGCTTCCTAGAGAAATAAAATAACAGAAAATAGAGTTGGAAGGGACCTTGGAGGTCTTCTAGTCCAAACCCCTGCTCAAGCATATACCATTTCAGACAATCTCCACCCACAACATACAGAGACAACTTGTTCCACTGGTTAATTGTTCTGTCAGGAAATTTCTCCTTTGTTCTAGGTTGGTTCTTTCCTTGATTAGTTTCCATCCATTGCTTCTTGTCCTTCCTTCAGGTGCTCTGGAGAATACATTGATCCTCTCTTTCTTGTGGCAGCCCCTCAAATATTGGAACACTGCTATCATGTCACCCCTACTCCTTTTTATTAGACATACCCAATTCCCACAACTGTTCTTCATTGACTTGTTAATTTGCTAAAATCTGTTTTAATTTTGCTACATCTTCAAGCCTCAAGTGTGACTTTTAATAATATCAGCTCCACATTTTCTTCAGATCTCAAATACTTTTAAAAGACATCTCCTGAATATAAAGTTTGCCCATATAGATTTATAGATTTTATAGATCTGCTCTGTCAGTTGTGTTTGTGATACTTTTATACTGGCAAATAGGAGTTCTCTTACGATTCTGTTGCCAATTTTTAAAAAAATCTCATCAGAAAAAGTGATACATTTCAGGTACATTTTCTAAATATAAAGTGAAGGTTGTGTCACTGAGCCATAACCATTCTGATGTGTTGTGCGTGATACAATTTTGCCTTGAACTGTGAGATGAGTGGCATATAAATTTAGTAGTAATAAGGCATACATGGATTGTAGCATCATGACAATGCCATGCAGTGGCCAATGGTGGTTCAGGTGTAAATTTGAGGAAAGTTTATGCTGGTATAAATGAACAATCAAGGAGTTTTAGGTTCATGTATTCCTCCTTCCCCTATATGTAAGCATTTACTGTTTGAGATGGCCCACGATCAGCAGTTTTCATTGCTTAAGAAGGAAGGTAGTGTGATAGACAAAGGAATGAGAAAGAATATGTGATTCTGTAAGATATGTCAAGAATCAGCGTTTTTCATATAAGACTATTAGACTGGGTTGTCATGCACAATGGCACTTTTAGAAGAGAGATACCTTGCCTTCCTTCCTTTGCCTCAATCATAATCAGTGAAACATTGCTTCCAAACCATTTTACACTTTGCTACCAATAGCGTAAAAGAACCTACCTTCCATATTTCATTTCCAAATGGAAGATATTTATTCTTGGTAATGAGGCTTCTATTAACTTAAACATGCAATAGTGATAAAAACATAACATTACAAAAGGTAAAGTGTATTTGTTATCATTGTATCCTAGCTGCACGTAGAGTATTATGTATTATGCACGTATTATGCACGTAGAGTAGTATAGCAGGTTTGAGCTTGAATGTCTTATTCCCCAAAGGTTAACTCTTAGATAATAGCCATAAATAAGAGCTAGGAAAACAGTTCCGCTTTCTCCTTATTAGAACCATGGGGAACAACACTGTGCACCACAGAACTACTTCACTGCAACTGTTCAGATGTAGCTATCAAAGCAATAACTCATACCGTATACCGTATTACCATATATTGCCTAGTATGCTACCTACATTACTGCACTTAATTATTGCTAAGTGCAGAGGATGGACTGAGTCTAAGAGTGTTCAGTTTTTGCCAGCAGATATTTCCGCAGAAGCTTCTAAAAAAAAACCCCATAGGTTTTCTCCAATGGAATTTAATAAAAAAGTAAATGGTGATAATCTGATCAATGTGAATTGGTCTGCCACTGTTTAAGGGGGACTAACATTGTATTTTTTTCTAATATCAGTGACTGTATTTCCTCGTTGCTTATCCCTATTTTATTATTTTATTGTTTCAACTTATGCATGGATATATTTTTACTTATTTAACCTGTATGCATTTTATTTAAAAAATGCTCTCTGATCA